GACTCTGAGGGGTACTGCTCGTTTCCCAGCACAGTTTGCACTCATGCCCTGCCCCCTGGGATGTGAACCCACCCCTTGCCTGTGGAACTTCTCCTGTCTGCTGCTGTGTTCAGGGTCTGCTGTGTCCTTGTTCTGCGTTCTTGGACGGGGCTCCAACAAAGCCTTCATATGACCTTGGCCATTATCATGGGCACACATGACGATGGGTCACCAACCTGAACGGCCAAGACGGCAAGGCTGTGATGAACACAGGTGGTACTTGGGCCACTGTCCCTGAAGAGCCTGTCCTTTGCCCATGAGAGGAGGGTTGTTTTCTTATTAGAACAGCAGGTCTGTGAGTGGAGGAAGAAGCCAGTGCCCTGCCCCCACCATGAGCATAGCTGCTGCTCTCTTTCCTTCGAGAAGCACAAAGCCCCAAGACTGTATGAACTCTTATTACTGATGCTCAGCCCTGAGCATGTCATAGGCCAAACTCTGCCAGCAGCTTTCTCTGGAGTCCTGAGCTTCCCAGACTCTGAGCATCACATTGAGGTCAAGAGAAGGGATATGGCAGAGCTGGGGTCCCAGTGGTCTCACAGGTCAAGGTGCTAGTCCCAGTGAGCAAAGGCCTGGAGGGCAGCCTTCAGACCCAAGGCCAAGCTTCCATCAGCACCTGGCCCGCTCTGGTCCTTAGTGCCTTCATAAGTGGTCTCCAGTGGGAATGGGATGTCAGTGCGCTCAGCGAAGAGTTTGCTGTTCAACGGAATTGTGCAAATTCAGTAGGGATTTTTGAGGAAATGTGATTTCCAAATGTACTGGCTGTGAAGAACCACTTAGACGGCAGCGACTCCAGTTCCCCTGTAGGAAAGACCCATAGAGATGAGGGTATTGCAGGCCTCATAATGGACAGCACGCTTGTGTACACCAAGAGAAGACAGCCATCCTAGGGCTCTGAAGGAAGCCCATGTGGAAAAGTGGTGGGTGAGGCTGAGAGGCCTGATATTCAGGAACCACAATGGAAGGTGGGGTTTGCAAGTTCAGTTCCCAGGAGGAGCCAGCCTGGCTTTCCCATCAACCTGTGCACCCTAGGTGCTGTCCTGAAGACCCTAGGAGACCTGGACTCTGTGCAGGGTGGGTCTGGTCCTACTCTCAGGTGATTTGGGAAGACAGGGGCTTAGGAAACACAGCAGAGGGAAGGTGAGGCCTTGTCCCAGTCCATCCATCCCAGCTGGCTGTGGCTTTGAGGACCAACGTGCTGCCTTATTGAGGTCATGAAGTTCCCTCAATGAATGGCTGCGTCTGGGCCTGGGAGTCCCTGACCAAGGGTGGTATGGGCGAGGCTGTGAGCAGGAGCGTGATCCTTCCCTGTCCGCTGGGCAGAGCACACCCTGCTCATTATGACTGATCTCATTTGAATCTGGATTGTTAGATTGCTGTTTTGTATTGACTGATGTTATTCCAATCTGATGTGACTGGTGGTATTGAGTCTGAGAGTAGAGGCAACTACACTGAAGGTGACAAAATGCACCAGGACACTCACTCTGGTTTGACTGTTACTTGCTTTGAAGTCTTATAATGTCTCCAATGTTTCATTTTTGTTACTATTATTATGTATGTTATATTCAATTATACTATGCCTGATAATATAGACAATTCTATTGAAGGCAATAAGAGACATCACAGTAGCTACTGTAGGTCACTTGTATTGCAGTTGTATATGACTATTTCATTTCATGTTTTTCCAGAAATTTAGCTTAAGTCTTGCTTTATTTTGTTTTTTTCCTCTAGTACAGGAGGGATAGATATACATGTAGAGACTCATGAATGCATAGAACTTCTAATCAGTTTATGAGAACTGATTATAAAATGCATGAGGAAATTAACAACCACTTTGAAGTAAAAGACACACTAAAATACCCAGTGCTGATTCCTTAGTGTCATGAAGTGCAATCCCGCAAAACTATTATTATTTGTTCAGACTAAGATTAGCCTGTTTTGTTTTGTTTAATTTCAACATAGGTGAAGGTATGGACAGATATTTTGAAGAGAATGAGAGATACTATGGCAGCCATTGTTGACTTCCCTATTGTCTGGTCTTGAAGACCTAAATTTCTTTCATCACTCTGTTCGGATCAGTTTTAGACAAGTTTTTTTTGGAATGAATTCCTTGTACGTGAAGATATGGACAATTATTTGGAAGAAAACAAGAGACAATATGATAGAGAGTGAAGATCTCTAGTTGTCTTGCTTTGAAATTATGTCCCTTATGTTTCTTTTTTTATGTTGTCTTTTGTTCTATTGACTTTTGCCCTCTTTAAAATTAAAAAAAAAAAACACTAAAACTGGAGATTCTGGTTGCCCTACATACTCTCTTGGTTGGTATCTTCCAGAAGGAGTAAAAATATAACACCACAGGGATACATGTTCACTTGTCTTTATAACAGTGTGTAATAGTTAAATATTGGAAACAGCCTACATGCCCATCAGATGGTAACTGTGTTCAGAAAAATGTGGCTTGTATACATAGTTGAGTACATGCTTCCATAAAGGATAAACCTGAGAGATATTTTACTTAAGCAGATGTACCTGGAGTCTTAAATTACAAGTCAAGCACATCAGAAATATACATATTTAAATATTGCGTTGTTTCTCCTGTGTGATAAAATGAAAGCATAAATGAAGACCAACAGGGTTCAAATATATTGGGAAGAAAATGGTCAAATGGAAAAGGAACCTAGGGAGGTACGAGGGGAAAGAGGGATAAACATAAAAAAGGGAATAGAGGGTAAAAATGGAAAGAAAGGTTTGGCAAATAAGGAGGGAAATATCATGGGTGTGAGAATCAAGATATATTTTGTAGCAGCATAGTTTGTGATAGCTAAATCCGGGAAAGAACCAAAATGGCAGTCAACTGCAGAGTGGATGAAAAAAATGTGGTGTTTTATACAATGAAACACTATTCAGCTATCATAAAGCATGATCTTGAGGAGTTTACAGGTAAATGAATGCAACTTGAGACTATCCTCATTAGTGAAACAAACAAAACTCACATTTGTAAATATCACATTGTGTGTCTAGTGTATAAAGTAATAAGGACTGAGAGAATAATGGGAACCAAAGTATAATAGATGTCGTCAAGGGAAAGCAAAGGAAAGTGCTCTAAAGGGTATAACGGTACGTATAGTGTGTAAGAACAATGAGCATGTGTCTGAATTTCTGTTAGATCCTTGAACAGAAGGGCCTGCACTGTCAATGTTTGAGTGTCTAGCCACCTTTTGTGCTTTCATTTTGTGACTTTGGCAAGTATTTTTAAGATGCCGATGCGTAATGTTTGAACTAGCGATTTTCTGATGTTAATTTTCCCGATGTCTGTATTATTCTGCTTTTTCCCCTTTCTTTCTATTTTGCTTTTTCTTTCAATTTCTTTTGTTTTTTTCTTTAAATAAAGCATTTGAAAAACAAGATATATTTTGTACAGGTATCAATTCCCCATGATGTATATGATCATTATGTATATCAAAATTGTACAATAAAATTAATATTAAGAAAAGGAAATGAAAATATAATTTTTGGGATGCTTATAATAATTTTAGGGAAATACGCTTAAAGCAGACAGATTAGCAAGGTTCTCTAACTTGTTAATGCAAACATATTCTATCCATATAATTTGTCATGTCACGGCAAATCACCAAAACATATGTAAATCATGTTTTAAGTATAAAAGCCTCAACTCCCAGGGGACATCTATACTGAATGGTTCCCTCTAGAAAAGACAAAGTCTCCCACAGGGACGACAAGCACATGATCTGCTTGAGGCGGGAGGGCAGAAGAGATGGCCATGGCCACAAGAAAAGTCCCCAGGCGATGTGTGAATGTGTCCTTCATGTAGGCTGGGGGGATGACCTCCTCGGCTTCACAAGGAGTCACTACCTGCTGTCCCCTCACACAGTGTCACAGCACTGAGGACTGCAGTAAGGCACTGATCTCAGTATCTAAGTGTGGATATCCTCAGGCAGCTCGAAATTATAGCCTGCTCTGAACCATCCACTCAGTGCCATACAGGGGTATATTTTCAAACGTTTATATAATTTAATGAAAATCATTGTGGCAATTTTTTGAACATCGCATAATTACTATTGCAACTGAAATGTAAATGAAGTCAAGCAAAGAAAAGAGATCATCCTAAAATCCCGCAGCTCTCAAAATGATGGCCCTGCACAAGACGTCTTGGGACAGAATAGACCCTCGGATGGAAAAGCACACTGCAGCCCGCATCTGCTGCATCTCACACATCTACACATTGGTTGCCTTCAAACTTCAAATTCCTCAGCCGCTAACATGACACACAGCTTTCTAGTTTCCCTGCTGTCTCTAAGGAGCACAAGGTTGTGTTCCCCTGTGGAGAGAAAGGGACATGGGATCTTCTTATCAGAGGGGAACTCAGCCTATAGTCCCCAACACATAACCTCACTTCCTGGATGACAGTTGCAAAGAGAAATTGAAATTCTGCAGTCAGTGGGCAGCGCAACAGTCACTTGGCTGGACAGTCATGGCAAACATGCTGTGCTGCTGGCCCAGGTGTGGAGGCAGCAAGCACAGGACCCCGCGCAAGGAAAGTACTTGGATGAGACTATGGCGATGGATCCCTCCATCCAGAGGATTCAAGACTCTCAGAAGGAACTGCCCAACCCGCATGGGCAGCAGCACAGGACTGATGTATCCAGACCCAGTGACTATGGAGCCTGAGGAAAGAGGGAGCCCAGGGCAGGTTTCCCTTGACCTGACTCCCATATACATGGAGACACCAGCTACAGGCCAGGGGAATTCTGGTCCAGCCACCTTTGTGAGTCCCCAGCACAACACCTGCCTTTGGTCCTCACTGTGTGTGTCTGTGTGTGTGTGCGTGTGTGTGTCTGTGGCTGTGGCTGTGAGTGTTGAGCTCAGGGTGCTGAGCCAAGATAGTTCTGGGCAGGAGCTCGAGCTGGGAGGCTGTGGCCTGGGCTCCTGTCACATCCCTACCCATGACAGGGCTGGCAGGACGAGAAGAGCAGTGCCCAATGGTCATCCAAAACCCAGAGCCATCTCCTACTCCTCGGGGAGAACGTGTGACAGAGCTGTTTGTGCATCAGCAGCGCAAGGTCACCTGTGGGAAAAGCAGAACGAGCTGTGGTCCTACAGATCTTCACACTTTGAGACATCTGCTGGGCATTGATGCACAGAGCTGCACCAAGAACATCGGCCTGGAGCTGGCCATGGGGTCTGTGTGCTGTGTGTCTGTGACAGCCACTGGGACTGCACAACAGCAACAGGGGCCAGCTGGGGTGAGGGTGTGTGTGTGTGTGTGTGTGTGTGTGTGTGTGTGTGACGCGAGGGAACTCTGAACTGTGGCCACAGTAGGAGAGTAATGAACCTCAGTGACAGATAACACCTCCCTGAAGGACTTTTGGCAGACTTGACAGAATGGGGCGCTGCAGCTACTTGAGTCATATATTCCTCTCTCAAGTAGGATTGGTGGGGAGGGCTTGGCCTGCATGATGCCACTGACTTAGACCTAGTAGGTGAGCTCAACACAGGTCCCAGGACCTGGAGGTGCACCCTAGCAGTGAAACCTTCGGTAGGTTGACCTGGAGGGGCGGGCCCAGCAGAGGGTGCCCAGGTCTGTGTCTTCCTAGTACACTTCAGTGGGCGGGAACACCTAGCCGGCGCAATTCAAACAAATGGTAACCGAAAAAGAGAAAAAAAAAAACGGGTCTCCTACATTTGCTTGTATGGAAGGAACAAAAAGTATGGGAAGAGGAAGCAACAAGAAAGGGTCCTCAGTCCTCAATCCTGAGTAGACTGATCCAGGAAAGGGAAATGCAAAGGAAGACAGAAAACATGCAATATCAGACATGGCACCAATAGACATAAAGCAATATCTCCAGAGCATCATAGACGAGTTTAAAAGTGAGATATTTAACGAAATAAAGCAAGAGATAAGTAGAATAGTTAGAGAAATGCTAAGCACCGCCCAAGAAAAAACAGATGGTGGAATGGAAGAACAGAAAAAAAAGGGGAGAATTGTTTGATGGAGAAAATATAGAACAGAAAAAAAAGGGGAGAATTGTTTGATGGAGAAAATATAGAAAGCATAGAATACATGAAGCAGGCCCCAAGAGATTACCAGGACACTAAAAACTCTATTGAAAGCTGGCATAACAGCTTGAAAGAAACTAAGGATAGATTATCTGAATTGGAGGGCAGACTTGTAATATGGGAGCATGAAATGAAAAACTTCTTAAAAATAACAACAAACAGCAATAATACAAAGACTAGAAGATGATAAGAGGAACTACAACCTAAGAATTAAGAACATAAAAGAAGAAGTAGGAACACAAACAAATGGACTACAAAAGCTATTCACAGAAATAATCCAAAAGAATTTCCCTAATTTAGCAAAAGTTAAAGATACACATATGTATGAGGCATACAGGACCCCAGCCACCTACAACCCAAACAGAGCTACACCCAGGCATATAATAATAAAAATTCCAGAAATCCAATATAAGAACAGAATACTAAAAGCCATCAGAGACAAGAAACAGATCACTTACAAGGGAACACCCATCAGAATTACAGCAGACTTCTCGGCACAAACCATCAAATCACACAGAGCATGGGGGGAAATAATTCAAGCTTTGAAAGATAACAACCACCAGCCAAGATTGATAAATCCTGCACAACTGTTCCTAGAAATTGATGGAAAAACAAGGTGCTTCCAGGATAAAGAGGAGCTAGGGGAATTTGCAACCACCAATTCAACTCTACAGAGAATACTGCAGGATAGTCTAAAAAACGAAAATACCAAGACTTCAGAAACAGTGGCAAAGAGGTCACAATGAATGGAGCAGAAAGTGAAATGAAGAAGACAAACTGACAACAAACGACAGAGAAAGAGCTCAACAGAAATGAGGCAGAGAAGATTGGATGGTAAGAACAGCTATTTTGGAGAAAGCAAGACATCATAATAGCTTGTGCTGATTTAGTATCGTCGTGCTTTGAAGTCCCATCAATTTTTTATTCTTCTGTCTCCATCGGTCTTAACAGGTTGTATCTTATTGAATTTTATTATATGAGATAATATAAGCAAAAACTTTTATAGACAAGGAGATTATACAGAAACCGTTGTTCATTATCTGGTAGTTGGTCCTAAATACACTGTAATACTGTCATTCTCTTGAATGGTTTTACATTGTCCTGATACGTTTGGTGCTACAGTATTCGAAGTTATACTCAAAGATTTCAAGGAAAGAGACATTATGGTAACTACTTTTATGTTGGGATGTCTTGTAGTGAAACACTATTTTGCTTAAATGGTTATGCTTTGACCTGCACTGTTTTGTTGTTATGCCCTCTTATATCTGTCTCCTTTTTTAAATTATTTACTTTTTAATTTTTTCTCTTTAAGTAAGGGAAAAATAAAAAAGCAGGATGTATTATTATAGTAACACACTTTGATTTCCTATTAACTTGATTTGAAACCCTGTATAGCCCTCACCATCTTGCTTTGACTGATTTTCCTCTATACTGCTTTGCTTGATAGTACCAAGCTCGAAAGTATAGGCAACAACTGTGAAGACAATAAGATTCATTATGACGCCCATTCTGATTGACTATTATCTTCTTTTAAAGCCCTGTAATGTATCCAATGTTTTGGTTTTACTCTTTACTGTTTTGTTCAATTTTATTATAACTGATGATATAGGCAATTCTTTTTAAGATAGCAAGAGGCAGTATGGTAGCCATTGTTGATCACCTAGTATTTTGTTTTTACATTATCTATTATGTTCATCCTTTTGATTTGAGTGACTCTGTTCTGTTATGTCACATTTGATTTTACTCTCTTCAAAAAAAAGTAATAAAAACTGTGGGAGTAATAAAACCCAAAATGTGTAATTGTCATTATACAAAAGAAAGGAAAAAGAAAGTGCTCTAAAGAATATAACCACATATATATTTAAGTGTATAAGATAGATAACCATATTACTGAGTTTTGTTGCATCATTGAACAATGCTGTTTCCAGTCTCACTGTTTGAAAGTCCACTTTATATGCTTTAATTTTGTAACTTGAACAACTATTTCTAAGATAACCATATGTAATCTGTTAACTTGTGATCCCTATTGTTTATTTTTTTCTGAAATTCTGTATGACTGGTGCCCTATTTCTGTTTTTTTTTCTCCTTAATAAAAAAAGAGAGGGAAAGAAAGGGCTCTAAAGGATGTAACTGCATGTATGTTTAAGTGTATAAGATAGATAACCATGTTACTAAGTTTTTGTTGGATTATTGAACAGAACTGTTTACAGTTTCATTATTTGAATGTCCACTTTGTATGGTTTAATTTTGTAATTTGAACAACTGTTTCTAAGATGACAATATGAATCTATCACCTAGTGATTTCTTATTGTTTATTTTTTGAAATTCTGTATTATTTCTACCCTTTTTTCTGTTTTCATTTGTTTCTCTTTAAATAAAATTATTTTAAAACTTTTTTACAAAGACTGGATTATAATGCCTACTGTCCCAGAGAATGTTTTTGGCAAGGAGAAGTTTGAGGTCACTATTATTATCATTTTTTTACAATAATCGTAACATCTGCACCAATGTCCAAGATATCTACGAATGTTCATTTTTTATCTGAAAGTCAGAGAAGGTCCAGAGGCTGTGATGGGCTGGACCCAATATAAATCCAGTCTCTATTCTAGCAAATCCCTCATTTTCTCTCACCTTTTTTAAGACCCAAGAGCCCAATATGGCAAGAGAAAAGCTGAGCAATTTTCATTCCCAGAATAAAAATTTGGATTCTCTTTTCCCGTATTAATATCATAATTTCCCCACTGATAATCTGCAGCGGCAACACACAGAATTGAATTTCCCTTGGAGCACTTTCTGCACATTTTCCCAAAGTGAGTCCCGCAGTCCAGTTGGAAAGGGTCTGAAGACTCCCGTGGAGATCTGTTGAGGGACTCTCCCTCTAACACCTAAATTTCTATCCTAGTGAGCAAGATCAACCTGGTACACAGAGAAAGAACAGTTGATTTCCAGCTAATCAGAGGCCACTACCACCATCCTCTGTGGGGAGCAGGAAAGGGCCCATAGGGAATTTTCCAAAGGTGGAGGGCAGTTGTCCTTGGAATATTCAGAATGGCATTGATTAGCTCCTCTGTACAGTGAAGGCAAAGGCCTGGGGGCTGAGAAGTATTCATAGGCCCACCAGGCAAAGATTTCACCTCTTCTTTCTGCAATCATTTTTAAGGTGCCCAGGTTTTCCACATTGAAAGCAAGCAGCATTCTTCCATTTATTGAGAGGAGGCCAGAAGGTGAGAGCCACAACCCCAGCTACATGTGTCTCTGTGCCCACCACTGCACATGAATTTATGAGGTCCCTGCAGCCTGAGCTTGGGCGGGAAGAGGTTTCAGAGCCTCCTGGCAGTCCTTATTAGCATTTTCCTAGGCAAGATGAAACAAAAGAACACCCACAACCTGTAGATGGCCGCTCTGCATCCAGAAAGCCTGCTGCAATCCATCAAAAAACTGCACAAAGGGCTCTTTCGCATCTCAGCCAACCTCTACGTATGAGCCTGAAGCTTGCCTAGAGGCAGAAACATGGTCCCTGGCTGGGGAAAGAGCCACAGTGCATTGTGTAAAAGCCTGTCATGTAATGCAATACTATTCAGCCATAAAGAAGAATAAATTTGAGACAGTAATAGGTAAATGGATGGACCTTGGGGCCACACTCTTAAGTGAAATAACATGAATGTGAATATAAAGTGAATGGACATGGAAATATCACACTGTTTCTGTGGTGTAACTGAAAGTGTAAAGAAGGATCAGAATGTAAACTAGATTTTATCAAATAAGAAACAATGCTCAGTTGGGAGAGAGAATGAGGAAGAGAGAGGGAGGAGTGAAGGAAGGGAAAAGGAAAAACAGCAAGAGCTTTTATAAATAAGGAGGGGACAAGGAATTTAAGTAAAGACAAGAGAATGGGAAATAAGAGGGACGGAGACAAACTGGAGTTACAGAGACTCTACGGTCCAAATGACACTCGTGTGTATTTAAAATGTGCACATGAACTCACCCTAAATAAATGAATAAATGCCCGTCATGTGAGACGGAGCTGGGCCTTTCTGGCCATCCTGATGCTCAAGGAGCCAGACAAATAGGGTGTGTTGCTCAATACAGGCGGGGCCTGCTACAAGAAGGCTACTCTTCTGGTGTCTGGTGTGGCCCCAGCCATCCTTGTTACTCTGGCTGCTCTCATTTCTTACCCTTCCCTCAGAGGGGAGAGTCGGGGCTCTGGGCCTGCACTCCCCTAGAGCTTCAGGTTCCTTTAGCTTTGACACTCATCCCCGAGACAGGTCCAGGTCCCTTTTCAGGCACAGAGTGGGTGACTCAAACCCCCAGACTTACTGAGGAACAACAGGGGTAAGAGGGGTGTGCTGAGCACAGGTGTTGGCTTTAGTAGCGAGGCAGGCGGGCAAGGCATGGTGACACTTTCACTGCATGTTTAACTTTACTCTGACTGTGCCCTAGGAACTTTGCCTGTTTTCTCTGTATTTTACCATCTCTCTGTGATCTGCAAAATATCTCATCTTCCAGGCATTTGGGATCCTCATCGTAAGAGTCTTCCGTGTCCTGCATCAACCTGAGAGCACAGGGACAGTGTTGCAAGGACCCCCACAGTGAAGGAAAATGAGTCAGGACATCTGTGGAACATCTCCATAGTCCCTGCTGCAACTGAAATCAAACTGAAGTTAACGGAGGAAAAAGTCATCCTAAAATTCGACAGATTAAATGATGGCCCTGAGCACTGCGTCCTGAGAGGGAATGGACCTTTGGATGGAAAAGCACACTTCCCCTGTGCCTGCCACATTTGAGTAATTACATATGTGTACATTGAAATTTCAAGTGTATCAAACTGTAACATGACACACAGCTTTCTAGTTCACCTGCGGTCTCTAAGGAGCACAAGGATATACTTCACTGTGAAAACAAAGAGGTCTAGGGTCTTCATATCAGAGGGGAGCTCAGCCTGTGGACCCCAGCTCATGATCTCACTTCCTGGTGACAGTTGCAAAGAGAACTTGGAACCCTCTAGTCACCAGGCACCACAGCCTAGCGACAGCTACCTCGAGGTCACTTGCCTGACAGTCATGGCAAGCATGCTGTCCTGCTGGCCCAGGTGTGGAGGCAGCAAGCGCAGGAGCCCGCGCAAGGAAAGTACGTGGATGAGACTACGGCGATGGATCCCTCCATCCAGAGGACTCAAGAAGCTCAGAAGGAACTGCCCAACTGGCATGGGCAGCACAGGGCTGGTGTGCCCTGACCCAGTGCCTATGGAGCCTGAGGAAAGAGGGAGCCCAGGGCAGGTCTCCTTTGACCTGATTCCCATATACACGGAGACACCGGCTACAGGCCAGCACAATTCAGGTCCAAGGACCTCTGTGAGTCCCCTGCACAATTAATGCCCTTGGTCCTCACTGTGTGTGTGTGTTTGTGTGTGTATGTGTGTGTGTGTGTGTGTGTGCGTGTCTGTGCTGTGGGTGTTGAGCTCTGGGTGCTAAGCCAAGATTCTTCAGGGCAGGAGCTCGAGCAGGGAGGCTGTGGCCCAGGCTCCTGTCACATCCCCACCCATGACAGGGCTGGCAGGAGAAGACCAGTGCCCAGTGGTCATCCATAAACCCATAGCCATCTCCTACTCCTGGGGGAGAATGTGTGACAGAGCTGTTTGTGCATCAGCAGCCCAAGGTCATCTGGGGGAAAACCAGTACCAGCTGTGGTCAAGCAGAGCTTCACACTTCGAGACATCTGCTGGGCACTGACCCACAGAGCTGCACCTAGGACATCGGCCTAGAGCTGGCCACGGGGTCTGTGTGCTGTATGTCTGTGACAGCCACTGGGACCGCACAACAGCATCGGGTGCCACCTGGGGTGTGGTGTGGTGTGGTGTGTGTGTATGTGTGTGTGTGTGTGTGTGTGTGTGTGTGTATGTGTGTGTGTGTGAGATCCGAGGGAACTCTGTACTGTGGCCACAGTAGGAGAGAGAGGACCCTTGGTGACAGACAACACCTTCCTGAAGGACTTTGTGAACAGTGGGCCAGGGTGCTACTTTCAAAGGAATTGGGGAAGCATGTCCCCAACATCCACTTGTGCTCTGTGCAGCCTCCACCATGGGAGGGGAAGGGTCATTGTCATGGTGGTGAGAACATCAGAAAAAGGACACAGGCGCTGTCACATCAATCCTATCATGATTTCATTGTGCCATTCACCTCAGTCTCTCTGGCTCTGGTGTCCATGTGGCACCTGTCAGATATCCAGGACACCTGGGCTAAATGTCCTTCTATAAGGGTGGCAGTGAGCACAGCCTTTCAGCCTTACATGGGGAAGGAAGTTGTGCCTGGCTCCTTCCTGGCCATTTCAACAGAAACAGGAGCAATCTGAGTGATCCATGAATGGACCTGGGGTGCCAGGATGAGCCCCTGTTTCCTCCTCTCTACTGTGGAGGTCTGGGGCTCCTCCTGGACAGCTGCTCTTCCTGGGTGGAGTTACGCTCACCCTCTCCTCAGCTCACAAGCTGTCTGAAAATGCCAGTGTTTGTCAGGGTCCCTTTTGCAATTTAACTTTGAATATGAGGATCACATTTCTCCTGGGGACCTCCTCTACCCCTGCTGGAAAGAGCCACTATGGTCAATTTAGAGTGTGATCAGGGCTTAATCCTCAAGCCTCCCTAGAAATGCAGGGTGGTTCACCAACTTCATGTCCACTCATGTCCCATCACAGAGTGGACGTCAGGCGGACAGGAGCGAGGCTGAGGTCTGCAGAGAACAGGCAGAGGAGGCAGACCCACCATACACCCTATCTGAGCCACCAGAACAGGCCTGGCTGGAGAGTTGCTCCAGCTACTTTGTGGCCTACTTCCCGGACCCCTCAAGGATCAACAACCTGTGCCCACAAGAGGGGATACTGGGACGGTGAGTTCTGCCTTGGTCACTATGACTCCAAATCGGGGGAAGGGGCAAGCACCCCTCTCATCCTGTTAGCAACTCTCAACAGTGGGGTGTTGGAAAAATCAAGTGAAATGGGGTCTCTATCACCAGTATCCTGTCTGGACTTGGCCCTGGGGAAGACTGGCTGACACTTCCAGATGATGCGTTAGCCGTGCTGGGAAGCTTTGCCTCCCGCGCATGGTCCTACACTTAGGGAAAGTGATCCTACTCATTGTACAGGGGACTGCAGAGTCACTCTGTGGCGTTCAGCGTGGTCCAGGCAGGAAACTCTGGAGGATTCAAAGGGCCCAGCCCCACTCACACATCATGGAACAGTCAGTGGGTACGTCAATCCACAAATAGAGCTGAGCACACACTACGTGCAAGCACTTTTCCAGGCACTGACTGTGACTTAATAACTAGATCACATACAAGCCCTGCCATCTGGGAATTACATGCTATGTGGGGCTGGCACAGTCACCCCGGATAGCAGAGCAGGTAGTGGCACGGAGAATTGGACAACACATCCCTACAAGAGCTGAAGCCCAAGGAGAGGCAGGGAAGGAAACACGCCTGCTCTCCCCTGGTCTTCACATGTTTATGGAGCAGCAGCCCAGTGCCCTTGAGTGCAATCACACAGCAGATTCCAGTCTCTGTCCCCATGGAGTTGACAGTTGGGATGGGCTGAGGAACAGTGCATCAGCTGCCCTGAAGAAGGCAGAAATGGTAACACCACGGGACAAGAGCTCCCTCATGTAGGATCTCTGTCAGGTGCTCAGGACTATTTGAGACAGGTTTGCCCCATGAGGGTGTGGAGAGGGCGGGTTGGACCATGCACACACTGGACTAGAGACCTCTGTGTCCATTGCCACAGGTGCCTGAGCAGGGAGCCTGGGAGGCAAGACCAGGCTTCTCACTGTGCTGCTACCCAACTTTCCCAGGTCCATGTCTGATGTCGTTGATACCTCTCTGGAGGTGGACTTGCAGGTGGATCCCCCAGCTGAAGCCCTGGACCAAGCCGAGGATATTGAGCCCACCGAGACAGAGGCCAAGCATGAGGAGGACTGGGGTATGGGGCTGTGGGCATGTGGGGAGGGGATGGGCCTTTGAAAACTGAGACCCTCAGGACACAGTGGCAGCTGCAGTCTGGAGGACTCCCCAGGGGAAGCTTTGTGCACAGAGCTGTCGCTGACATGTGGTGGGAAGGTTTTGCCCCAGGAAGGAACGTGGGCATTTGCTGAGCTTTTCTCTTCTGGCAGCTGGAGGGTCAGATCCAGACAAAGCTGAAGGACTACCTGTAGAGCCCACAGAGGCTCCAGCTGCAGATCCACGCCCAGCTGTGATAGCAGAGGAGGAAGCAGGACCAGAAAACCCCTGGGCACCAGCTGCAGGGCAGGGGAGCCTGGTGGCTCCACAGCAGGGCTCAGCTCCTGTGCTCCCTCTAGGGCCAGCTCCTGCCCCACCCCTGCCCTTCCCCCCAATTACAAAGGAGTCCCTCTTAGCCTATGTCTTTGCCCTGGTATTCTGGATATACGTAAACAACTGGGTGATTTTCAAATAAAATGTAAGCTTGTCGTTAAGCTTAAACAATCAGCATGGTGGCGTGAAATGCATTCTTGGTGTTTGTACCCTGGACACCACTATCCAGGGCTAGAGCCTGCCCCTCAGTGCTGGGCCTGCTTCTAGTCCCTGGGCCCTACTTGTGTTAGGTCCCCATGATTTACCAAGTCCTCAACTTTTTACTGTGGTGCAATCAGAGTACTCTTTGGCCACAGAATGCTGGAACAGACTGATAAAGCTTGTCTTCTGTAGAAGGGAAAATTCTAGATAGATCATTTCCCGTTTCCATTCATCCATTCAGTAAGTCATCCAGTTCTTTTTGCCTGACAAAAAAACCTTTACTGTCATAAAATAACGTGTGCAATGTGAGTGAAAGATGAAGGGAAAGCCACAGCCACAGTCATTCCAAGAAGCACAGTGACTGCCCCCCAAGGTCTTCCATGTTTCCTGTCTTCACCTCAGGGCTCAATCAGGCCTGTGCATGCCTGCTGCCTGGTGAGGAGTGTGTTAGGCCTCAGCTCTTCTGTCCCTTCAGGGAGGCACTGAGCACATGGGGACTGGATGTCAGGACCACTCAGTGAAGAGTTCAGGGCGGTGCTGAATCCTGCAGTGTCAGGAGGAATCCCTGAGGAAAAGTGAGTTCCAAATGCACTGGACAGGGGGTCAGATAGTACGTGCCTGTAATCTCAGCACTTCTGAGGCTGAAGCAGGAGATTGTTGCCAATGTGGAGCCAGACTAGGCTACAAGTGAGCTCAAGGTGAGCCTGAGCTGCATAGCAAGACTTTGTTTCAAAATGACAAAAACAATATCGAATAAAAAAATCTAGCAGCAGCAGAGGAAGATCCAGACTTTTGACCTGGGTCTCTACCTCGGGGATTCAGCCCAAGCTACGGACATGCTGCTCAATTTATTAAGAAGCTGCCTGAGCCAAACAGGGATCCCCGCTGTCTCTGAGTCACACTGGGAGCCATGACTCTAGTTTCCCAGGCTAAAAGAGAAATAGAGGTGAGGGTGTTGCAGGCCTCAGAATGGGGTGCAGCAGGGGCGGGGCACCCTGAGAGGAAACAGCCAGACTAGGCTTCTAAGGAAGGCTCATAAGGAGAGCTGGTGAGTGAGGCTGAGAGCTGGCCCAGGGTTCCAGAAACCACAGGTGAGGCTCAAATTCACCTGGAAGACCTGAAATTGATGAAATCAGTGTGCAGGAGGAGCCAGCCTGGCTTTCCCCTCAGACCTGTGAGCCCTGGCTGCTGTCCTGAGGACCCTAGGAGGCTGGACTCTGCTAGTGTGCAGGTACACTGCTCAGCACTAGGCAGGTGGACCTTGTCCTACTCTCAGGGGATCCAGGAAGACAGGGGCTTCGGAAACACAGAGGAGAGAAGGTGAGGCCTTGTCCCAGTCCACCCATCCCAGCGGGCTGTGCCTTTGGTGACACATGGCTCTTCAGAGAGGCCATGAAGATCCCTCAGTGACTGGTTACCTGTGGGCCTGCGAATCCTTGACCAATGGTGCAATGGGCCAGGCTGTGATCAGCAGCTTGAATCCTGCCAGCCCCCTGTCTGTGCTTTAGTGGCCAATGTGTCTCTGGCCTGCACTCATCTCTCTGAAGCCTTAGGGAAGTCCCAGTGGTCCCCTCCATGCCAGCCTGAAACCCCAGCACCTCTGGTTAGGATACTCTAGTGGCCTGCTTTGGCCAAGCAACAGCCATCTAGACAGACCCAAGTTCCCCTCACCCAGAATACACTATCCAGCCTTTCCCATGACACCCCAGACACTCCACACAGGGTCCCACCCGAGGCGCCGCCTCAGAGTCACAGCAGCACTTTGTGCCCTGATCTATCTGTAAGTAATTGTTTAACACGCTGAATATGCTGAATATGTCTGAGCCCCTCTTGAAACTGTTCCTCAGAAGGGCAGAACAAATTTGGTTTGCCATGCTGATTTCTTCATGGAGAGTAAATGGAGAGTGTGGTGGATCACTTTCCATGTTTCTACCCCAGTTATTCTTAGAGGTTGTTTGAAGATTATTGCCCTCACAGACATACCACACTCTCCATGGACTTTGTGCCAAAAGTCTTCTTGCATAGAACACCATGAATCTGGGATCAGTAGGCTGCATAGTACCAAAGTTTCAGAACTCAGTATTTTTAATGGTGTTCTAAGAGGTTACCCCAGTTTTATGCTAGATGCACTGATTCATAACAAGCTTGTCAGACATACCCACATATATGTGGTGAAATGGTGAGGCCCTGATACAGGCAACCAACGTATATGAGCAGTGGTAGAGTGGCCAGGGTTGGAATTTCACATTCAAGGAACAGGTAAGGGTAGTCACAGAGCAAAATAGAGAACCTATGGAGTCAAGGGTATAGAGGCATGAATTTCAAGAGAGTTGCAAGGCATAATCGTCACATGTGTGTCTGGTACACACTATGCATGGACATTGTCCCTCAAGAGCCACACAAAAAAGGTGGTCTTTGAGCATTATCCCTTATTATATCGAAGTTAACTGATTAACTCCATATGGATCAAAACCCACAATGTAAAGCATAATGCAGTACTTGTTTGTTATGTACAGATATGAAATGGCACCGAAAGGCGCATGTGTTTGGAGGCTAATTGGATCATGTAAACCCTGTATTTGTCACTAAGTTCAACCTTGATGAGGCCCTTGTGTAAATGTATTATCAGGAGGTGGGACTTTGATGGAGGTGGGTCATTTGGTCATTGTGCTTGAGATCTATGAGCTACTATGCTTGTCCCCGAGTCATCCCCCCTTTCTGTGCTTCTGGCTGCCATGAGGTCAGCAGCCTTGCAAGACACCACTTCTGCCATGTCACTTCTGCCTTAGGGTGAACATGGACCTGCTCTCTGAATCTGTGAACCCTTATAAACCTGTCTACCTTTAAACTGTGGTGTCCAATACTGTGGCCCAGCCATGGGAAACTAAGTAATACATGTTTCCATGGTATAAATTTTTGGACTGAAGTGTTAGTGGGACATTTCCTACAGAAAATATTATGAAAGGTACCATGGAGGAGCAACATAGGGGCCTTAGTTTCCATCAAAATTTAGAACATCTGCTTCAAAGACTTTGTTGCAAGAATGAAAACACAGGGCACAGAATGGGATAAAATATGTGGGAGTCCCACTTCTGATAACACTTCTTTCTGTTTTATAAAAGAAAAATAAGAAAACAACAATGAGAACAGCTTTACAAATTGAGAGCACAGCCGCCTGGTTTGGAAAAGATATTTCAGCATGGAACACATGCAGACTTATCACAAAAAGTTTCCTTAACATAATCAGTTCTCAGCTACGTGACACTGCAGTCTACTCTTTAGCTGAACATACCACTCTGCCCTTTGAAGAGGGAAAATTAAACTGTGGTCACACAGGTGTTGGCAAGGAAGTGTAGGAATCAGCACCCTTCAACCTTACTATTAGGAGAATCACTTCCGGGAGCATTTCGCAGTTTATTTTAGAGTTCAACTCTGAACTCTCCTGCGCCTCTCCCCATCCAATCCACGATGTGCTCATACAGACACTTTTACAAGCTCATACGCATCAGCTTGTTTTCAATAACTCAAAACTACAAAAAACATTAGTGAAAAACTGAAGGAATAAACAAACGGCCAACCAGGTGATGGGATTCTACACAGCATCCATGAACAGATTATGGATTCATCTCAAAATAACTATGCCTGGTGAGAGAAATCAGAGAAGTCACCCAGTATACTGTCCCTGCACACATTTTTAGAAAATGACAGCACATTTGTGACAGAAGTCAGGTCATTCCTTCCTCTGCAGGGTGGAGACTCTCTGGAGGCCATAGCATGGGGACAAACAATGATTTTCTTAAGCAATCACTTCTGCAGAGTTTAGGGAGTGAGAAAAACCACCCAGGTGACTTATCCTTTGAAAATACTACAAAAACTAAATTTTATATAGTTACTTTTGTGGATGCAAGTAGGAGCCCAGGCTTGACTGCCCATCACAATTTATATGTTCAGAGTTCAAACCATTTAAGACCAGTATTCGAGTAAGGGTTGAAAAGACACAATCACTGGAACACCTGAGTTAGTGATAAAGACATGGCTGATTTCCACGATTTTCCTCCTGAGAGAGATAGCCACGACTACTGGGTTAGCACCACTGTGCATGACCACATTAACATTATTTATTTGGAAAGAAAGTGACAATAACATGGAGGGTGTCATGGCAGGACTTACTGAGGCTCATTTGTGAGCAAAGGAGAAGCAATGAAAGCCGCTGATACCAGAGAGGCTTTGAAGTCATGGCCTGAGAAAAGTGTGCTCTTCAGAGCTGAGATAACCTCACCCCTGAGTCCAAGATGGTTAAGTGGTGTTTGCCGATATCTGGGCAGCAAGAGCTCCAGCAGCGAAGCACAGATAGACATGTGGACAGGGAAGCTGGCTGTGCTACACTGCCCTAACGAGTGACAGACTCCATGGAGGTGAGAAGAGGATGAGCTTGTTTGACAGAGCAGCCTCTCCTGGACCTGGACACAAATTGCTACTTGGGAGTTTGTAGATGATTCAGTCCATAATAGGCTGGCTCCAAAGCAGAGTGGCATGTCTGAGGGCATCGCAGAGAAGAAATAGTTCATGGCAGGCTGATGAAAGCAGAAAGCAGCAATACAAAAAAAAGAGAGACAGCGCAGCTGCCCGCCAGTAAGATGAAACGAGGCCAAGATGCGAGACCCCGTTCCACCCTTGTGCAATGCCCTCTCTCACCCGGAGGGCACACTGCAGCTGCCCCACCTGAAGGAGGGAACTGGGCCAAGCTGCAGGAAAATGCTCCGACCTTGCCTGTGACCTTCTTTAGGCCTGGAGAGCACCAGCACTACAGCCACCGCCTGGAGGAGGGAGCAGCCCTGCTGAGGAGGTTTGAAGCCGACCTAGGTCATGGGGGACCCTCTATCAGCCTGGGGAGCTTTACCAACCAAGGAGCTGTGTGGTTACACAACATCCAATCCCCAGGAATGTATGAGATCCTTGCATTAGGGAGTTGGGTGCCTGCTGGCCTTGCAGCCACACTAGATTGGGCTTAGCAGGATTTGTGATTGCCTGGACCATGCCAGGTGGCCTACTTTCCATCAGGAAAGCTTTGCTGCCAGAGGGGAGAGCTGTGTAGCTTGAGTAGGTTTTAGGTCTACCTGAGAGGAGCCTGGCGACTTTCTTTTAATCTGGGGGCTTCACTGCCCAAGGAAGGAGCTACGCTACCAGAGGAGTCCCAGGAGTCCAGGACATAAGAGACAATTGCCAACACGCCCAGGGGAGGCTTTGGAACAACATTTGCAGCACGGAAATATAGGAAAATGGCAAAACGAAAGACCAAAATGCCATCTCAAACATCCAGCCCATCCCAAGAAAGCCTAGCAGCCATGTACATAGAAGAAAATACATGCCATATGCCTGAAATTCCTGAAATAATGGTAACTGAAATAAAGAAGCAACTCCAGGAAGACTTAAAGGTATTCAAACTAGAAATAATCCTTCAAGTAAAAGAAGAAATAATAAAAAGAAAGAAGGAGATGCTGAACATATCTAAAGAAGACACAGTTAAAAATTGGAGGAGCAAAACAAAAAGATAGAAGCCCTGCATTAATAATATAAGAAACAAACAGAATATATAAAGCAGATGCAAAGAGATATACAGGAAAGCAAAATTCCATTGAAAATTGTACAAACCACCTCAATTAATGTGAAACTAGAATTTCAGACCTCGAGGACAAGACTGCAACCAGCGAACAGGAAAGGAAAGATTTTTTGAAAATAACAAGAAATCAGGAAATACCAATTCAACACCTGCAAGATGACGCAAAGGAAAACAACATAAGGTTGATAGGCATAAATGAAAAAGAAGGGAACAACATAAAGGATGTCAAGAGGATATTTAGAGAAGTAATAGCTGAAAATTTCCCAAACACGAGATTGGAATCTGATATCAAGATCAATGAAGCATATAGAACTCCAAATAGCCTTAACCAAAATAAAACTACACCAAGACATATAATGATCACCATCCCAGAAATCGAACAAAAGAATAGAACCCTAAAAGCTGTCAGAGAGAAAAGACAGATCACCTATGAAGGAAAACCTATCAGAATCACCACAGACTTCTCAGCACGAACAATAAAATAAAGAGGGGCATGGAGTGAAGTATTTCAGATCCCAAAGGAAAATGTTTTCCAACCTAGACTTATGTGCCCTGCAAAACTGTCCTTCAAAATCGATGGAGAAATAAGATACTTTCATGACAAAGAATAGACGAAGAACTTCATGATCACCAAGCCAATGCAGCAAAGAATACTGAAACACAGCTTAGATACACTTAGGTAAAAAACACTAAACAAAGCAAACAATTAAGCAGAACACAAAGATAAAGATGCCTCAGCAGAAAGATAACATGTCAGCAATAAACCAATTAATAACAGTTATAACCATTAACATAAATGATCTCAATGCACCAATTAAAAGAAATAGACTGGCAGAATGGATCAAGAAACAAAATCCAACCATGTGCTGTCTACAAGAAACCCATCTAACCCAAAAGGATACTCACAGACTGAAAGTCAAAGGATGGAAAACAATACTCCATTCAACAGGAATCCAAAAAAATCAGGGGTAGCTATTCTGTTTGCAGACAATGTGAACTTCAAGCCAATAATGATCAGAAGGAATAAGGAAGGTCCCTACATACTGGATTGGGGAAACTCCAAGAAGAAGACATAACTATCTTAAATATATATGAACTAAATTCCAGAGCACCCAGTTATATAAAACTAGCATTAACAGAAATGAAAAACTAAATTAGCTGTAACACAATTCTAACAGGAGATCTTAACACACCATTGACACCAATGGACAGATCAACCAGACAGAAAATCAGCAAAGAAATAAAAGAACTGAATCGTACCTGTGAACCAATGGACTTGATAGACATATACAGAGCATTCCACCCAACAACAACAGAATACACATTCTTCTCAGCAGTATATGGGTCATTCTCTAAAACAGACCATATATTAACTCACAGAACATATTTAAATAAATGCAAAAGGGTGGAAATAATCCCTTGCATGCTATCAGATAATAGCACTATGAAATTAGAAATTAAGGATAAAAGATACTGCAAAAATCTCACAAACACATGGAAACTGAATAACACACTCTTGAGTAATCAGTGGGTAACAGAGGAAATTAAAGAAGGAATTAAACAATACCTACAAACAAATGAAAACGTAAATAAAAGTTACCGGAATATGCAGGATATAATGAAAGCTGTCCTCAGAGGAAAATTTATTGCACTGAGTTCCCACATCAGGAAAACAAAATGAAAACAAATAAATAACCTGATGTTACACCTCAAACATCTAGAAAAAGAACAGCAAGCAACTCAAGCCCAAAGCCAAAAGAAGAGAGGAAATTATAAAAATCAGAGCAGAAATCAATGCAATAGAGACTAAAAAAAAAAAAAAAAATCCAAAAAATCAATGAGCCAAAGAGTTGGTTCTTTGAAAGAATAAATAAAATCGATAAGCCCCTAAGTAACCTTATTTTAAAAAGGGAAGAAAAAGCTCAAATTCCTGCAGTAAGGAATGAAAGAGGCAAAATCACTACAGACCTTATAGAAATACAGAAATTCATCAACACCTATTTCGAAAAACTCTACTCTCAAAGGTTTGATAACACAGAGGAAATCGATAGATTCCGAGAAGCATATGAATTACCAAACCTAGTCATGAAGATGTAAAACTGCTGAATAACCCAATTTCAATTAATGAAGTTCAAAATGTAATTGAATCTTTACCTACAAAGAAGAGCCCAGGCCCAAACGGATTCATTGCAGAATTCTACAAGAAATACAAAGAAGACCTAATGCCAACACTCCTCAAACGCATCAATGAAATTGAAATGGAATCAATCCTTCCTAAATCATTCCTAAAAGCAAATATTACTCTAGTACCAAAACCTGAGAAGGACCCAACTGAAAAAGAGAGCTACAGACCAATCGCCCTAATGAACACAGATGCAAAATTCTCAATAAAATATTGGCAAGTAGGATGCAGCAAATCATCAAGAAGATCATACATCATGACCAAGTGGGATTCAGTAAGGCATTCAGGGATGGTTCAATATACGTAAATCAATAAATGTGATACACCATATCAATAGAGACAAAAGTAAGAATCACATGATCATTTCTGTAGAAACAGAAAAAGCTTTAGATGAGGTCCAACATTCATTTAGGATAAGATCCTTGCAGAAAATTGAAATAGATGGTCTTTACTTCAATATAATAAAGCCCGTCTCTGACAAACCAATAGCCAATGTCATACTAAATGGCTAAAAATCGAATGCCTTTACTTTAAAATCAGGCACAAGACTAGGATGTCCCTTATCACCACTCCTATTTAATATAGTACTGGAAATACTAGCCAGAACAATTACACAAGGGAGAGAAATAAAAGGTGTAAAGATAGGAAAAGAAGAAGCCAAATTATCATTATTTGCAGATGACATAATACTCTATATAGAAGATCCCCAAAATTCCATTGAAACACTCCTAGATATAATAAATAAATTCAGTAATGTAGCTGGATACAAAATCAATACTCAAAAACCAATAGCATTCCTATACACTAACAACAAAAGCACAGAGACAGAAATAAGGGAAGCTACACCCTACACACTAGCAACCAAAACAATGAAATAATTAGGAATTACTCTCATGAAAGAAGTGAAAGACCTATACAGGGAAAACTGTAATGCACTGAAAAATGAAATCTAAGATCATCTCAGAACATCGAAAGACATCACTTGCTCATGGATATGAAGAATAAATATTGTGAAAATGGCCATTCTTCCAAAACTTTTATACAGATTCAATGCAATCCTGATAAAAACACCATCAACATACCTCATAGAACTCGAGAAATCACTCATAAAATTCATCTGGAGTGAGAAGAGATCAAGAATAGTAAGGACAGTTCTAAGCCGCAAAGGCAAGGCAGGAGGCATCACAATTCCTGAGTTGAAGTTATACTACAAAGCAACTGTAGTAAAATCAACATGGTACTGGAAGCAAAACACAGCTGAAGATCAGTGGAATAGATTAGAAGATACAACCACAACTACAAACAGGCTCAACACCTTATATTTGATAAAGGGGCCAAACATGTTCACTAGAAGAAGGACAGTCTCTTTAATGAATGGTGTTGGAAAAAGTGGCTCTCTATGTGCCGAAAACTAAAACTAGACCCATGCCTATCACCATGTACTAAAATAAAATCTAAAAGGATCACAGATCTAAATATTAAAACAAAAACACTAAATCTACTGGAAGACAAATTGGGTAAAATCCTTGAAGACATAGGAGTAGGTAGAGAATTCATGAACAGGACTCAAACCGCACTAAATTCCAACATGTTGGGAACTCGGGAGACGGTGTCTGGTTCTCTCCCTGTGTTGCCTGCCACTTGCTCAAACCAATAAAGAATTTTTATTTTTTGGTACCAATGACCAAACTCACAACTTCCCACTTGCCAGGCAGCTGCTTATACTGCTTATAAACTGTTGTGGGCTAAGCCACAGCTCTTCTGTCACCTTATGTATGCACTGAGGATTGACCACAACATACTGCACCCTGTGAATGTGACTTTTATTCCTGGGTTTCTGGCTGAGTTGTAAACACAGGCTCTGCCCTCACCTCTCCCTCTTACTGGCCCTGATGTGCAGAGACCCCATATGCTTTCCCCCCTTTCAGCAATGTGAACTGCAGGGAGAAGAGGAAAAGCCAATCGCAGTAGGACAGAAAGCTAAGGTAGGCAGAAACACTCTAGGCAGTCAATCAGGGCAGAGTTGTCTTGCAGAATATGAGGACGCAACCAATCTGTGGCTGCGGGCACATGTCAAGAAGATGAGGGCCCGGGATATAGCTCACTGAGCCACGCTGGGCTGTAGCCGAGGGCAAGGTTATGAGTTAGATTCCCCCCTCTCTCGAAAGATTAAAATCAAAGTCAGCCAAGCACGTGCTTGCCATTACTGAGGGTGGGGGTGTCTGATACAGTAGCCCCAACACCAGTTCAACATAAGCCTGGGCTACTAAGTGAGTTCAAAATCAGCCTGAACTGCAAAGCCAAACCCCATCTCAAAAGGACTCCCCCCGCCAAAAAAAAGATGTGATCCCAGTACACTTGCTGTGTGACCTGCTTTCCACTGGGTCAGTTTTACCTAAGTGACTATACTTTTTATCTTAGTGGCTGATCATATTTTTGTCCCACACTGCAGCCACCTTGAGATTTTACTCTCTAAATCCTCTTCAGCTCATCAGGAGCTCGTTGTGTGGAGCTCCTGTCTATCAGAAGCCATTCCTGTTTCACATTCCTTTCTGTAATCAGTTTTCCTACTTTTAACCTGTATTGTAACATGAACTCATTGAATTGGACATCCAGCATGTGGAGGGGTACATGTACTGCCCATGTACCTTTTGGGGATCTTCTCTCTTCAGTGAGGCCTGTTCCCTGTACCCCAAGAATACTGCCCAAAGTGCAGAAGCTGCAGGCAGCCCCATGACTGAGACTGTGCCCAGGAAAGCGCCCAGGAGTCACCTGGAGTCACAGAGGAGCACCTGCAGCTCATCATCTGCACCACTGGGTGGCTGTCACAGGCTCCCTCTGGGACCAGCCACACTCTCCTGTCCTTGCCTATGCTGCTAGGCACACTGGGCACCACAACCTACCATACTGGCTACCAAGAAAGGCTCTCCCAGACCCTTCTGGACCTAAAGATGGCAGTGCCTGGGCACACAGACTGGGTTGCTCGGTACAAGTGATGCTGAAGACAGGCTGTGGTTTATAATTCCCACCCTATGCACCAGAAAGGACCTAAGTTTTATTCTACACAATCAATATGCCAACTCCATATCAATGTATTCATAATGTACCACAAATACGAATACAAAGCATAACACATTAAAAACTAAGAGGTAATGAATTTCATACGTTAAAAAAAATTAAAAGTGCGGGAGTTTAGCTCAGTGTCCTGAGTACCTGCTGGCAAATGCGAGGTCCTGAGGTCAATATCCAGCAAAAAAATGAAAAAAAGAATTAAAACAGCAAAGTGAGGCCAACCTGCGCAGACCTGAGACCCTCTCCCCAGCAGCCAGGGTCCCTGAGGCATACACAGCTTGAGGCAAAAAGCTGCAGCTGCCTGAGCCCAGACCACACTGAGAGGATTTCTGAGGCCCATCATGGGGTCACAGGAGTCTGCATTTTCAAAGTACTTTTTTCTGTGTACAACCCCAGTGCAGACATACACAGAGGTTGTGTGCTGACAGTTCTAGAAGGGCTCCTAAAGTTCTGCTCCCCCTTGGGGAGATAAGCAAACCCCTCTCCCAGTGCCTGCAGTTGACTGAGTCATGAAGGAGAAAGTGAACACAGCACTCAGGGAAACCTTCTCATGGAGGCCTCAGGCTCCCCCACCCGCCTTTCACCTGGGCTCAGGCCCCTCATGTCTGGGCCTAAAGTGACAGTTGGAGATGCCCTTTTGTGGGGGATGAGGAGTCACTTTGAAGGCCCTAGCCCCCTCAGGACCTGCAGTAAACAATAGCCCCCGGTATGCGAGACAGAGGCGGGACAGGAATGCCTGTTCTCAGTGGGGATGTTCCCCCATCTCTGAACCCATGCTGTGTGACTTGGCTTTGTTTACAGAGTCATGAGGAAGTGACCGACCACCATTGTGACACTAGCAACAAACATAATTAACAACATTCTTGGGCTAATGAAGTTTCTCCTGGGTTAGAGGGGCTAGAGAACTGATTTTGCTTGTTTGCTTAACTTAAATAAGTTTAGATAAACATTGTAGTCTGTCACATTGTAGCTTGTCACAAAGAATGCTTTTTCACTAGTTAATCGTCTGTGCTCTGTGAGTTGATCCGGTTTACTATATAAGAACACTAAAAATAAAGCACAGCGTGCAGTGCAGTGCGGTGTAGTTGCAATTGCCGTGTTTCTCTGTTTCTTTTCCTCGCGCTGCACCCCCCATGTCCCGATCTGGTGTGTGTGTGCCTCTTCCCGGGGTCCAGAGTGCACTAGACATTCCCAACACCCTTTCACTCCATAACTGCTATCTTCAGGAAAGGCCTGATCTTTCTCCAACTGCAACCCTTCCTCAAGAGGCAGCAGAGATCTGGCTGGTGTGCAGAGGTCAGAGTGGAAATGGTTAGCCAGGGCTTCCAAAGACTCATACCCAACCTGGAAAATACACACAGCATCCCAGGAAGTGTGTGTGGGGAGGACACGTGTGGGACAGAGAAGAATGAGAGGCATCTGAGAGGAAGCTTGTTGTACATGTTAACCACCAGCTCCAGTGCGGCCTTGAGGGAAAACACAGGGAGACCCCACTCTACAGCCTCTCAGGACACAGCCGCCCCTTCTTACTGAGTGCAGATACTTTTCCCTTCCCACTACACTTGTCTTCTCAGCCACAGAGGTCCCGGAAGCAGTGTTCAGGTGAGGAAGCAGGGGTAGCCTGTCCACTTCGTGGCCTGTAGGAAGACAGCCCCAGGACTCAACCCCCTCACATGAGGGCCAGGATTTGAGCCTGAGCCAATTCCATGGGGCCACTGAAAACAGGTTCCTCTGGGACACCCTCTATCCAGATCCTGAAGGACCCAGGGACAGGGCAGTAGCAGGACTGATCATCATGTCCAGAACTTATGACAGAGCCACATAGTCCCAGGCATGAAAGTATCTGGTCTCCAGACGGGGAGAATGATGCGTAACTATTATGTTTGTGTCTGAAGTCTCTGGTGGTCACATATGGAGACTTTTCAGAGGTGACTAGATCTAAATTTGGTGTAATGCTGGGGTTGCTTCACCATGCAATGCTGGGATTAGGGGTGTGAGGGCAGGTAAGCTGGGCAAGGCACAAGGGACACAAAGAGCTGTGGTGTGATGAAACCTCTACCAACCATGAGCTGAAATAAACCCCCCTTTAACTTTCAGGATTTTGTCTGAAGTGCAAGAAAAGTAACTGAGACAAGGCTCAGAGGGCTGAGCTTGCCCTCCCACACAGATTGGTGCTGGGTAATGCTCACATCCCTTTCTGCTGATGTGTGGTCCAGAAGCGAAGGCCCCTTGCACACTCAGTCACACACAATCCAGTGCTCCCTGGCCAGGTGTTGTTCTGCCTGTTCCATGGAAGCCAGTTCCACATGACTAGAACCCACCTGATTCCTGCCAGACAGGAGGATCCACACTCTTCAGCCCAACTGTCCACATGATCTGGCATCACACTGGGACCCAGTGCCAGTCATTGGGTTGCTATAGAGTCTTGGGTCACCAGGTTGACATCAACATCCAGTTCTGATCAGCATGGCTTCTGGAGAACACTTGGTCCTAGGAGCTGCCTGAGGCCATCATAAGCCAAGAGCTGGGGCTCCTGGTGGCCTCAAACTCAGGCCATGGACCAAGGACAAAGAATGTTGCTTCAAGCTTGGTCTGGATGACAAGCCAGCCATCCTATAAGTACTGGTTTTTCCTGGGGCCAGAAAGGGACTGAGGGCGTACAGTGCTCAGCCCTGTGCAGTACAGGGCCAGCTATGCGCAGTGGAAAGGACATGGGAGGACAGAGACAGAAGGAGAGATGTGTGGATGGGGAGGGCATGACAGATGAAGAAAGGAAGATGAAGAAAGAAAAAGTCACTGCCCTGAACACATTTCGAGCCCTGAATTTTACAACCGCCTAGGTGCTTGCTGTCACCAGAGACCAGGGATCCTTGGACACTGGGAAGCTGCAGATGCAGAGTCTCCTCCTCTTGTGATCGCACCTCTAGGCTTGGGATGTTTATTCGTCTAGGAAGGAGCTGAAAAAGGGTTAGACAGGTAAGGAAAGAACAGGGAAGGATAGTATGGGCCTGTGTCCTGGGTAGATGGCAGCCAGACACAACCTGTGGCTCCCCATATGCCCCACTGTGCTGGCAGGGAAACCTTGAGCTCCTGCCTCTCTAACAGAATGCCAGGAGCCAGAAACTTCCTTGATCACCACAAGAGGGCCACAATGACAGCCCCACACCCCAGAGCCCCAAAGCATCAAAGGAGCCTGCACCCTGTATGGGCGCCACAGCCCAGCTCCTGGCCTTGTGCCCCACAGGCCCTTGCAGTGTCAGCTGAAACAAGGCACCGCATGGGGAGAATGACCTGCAGACAGACTCCTCAGGAGCCAGCTTCTGCAGGGGTTGTGCTGGGCCTGGGGCCTCCCTCACTGACCCTGATGGATCCTGTGCCTTAGTTTACCACGTATTGTCCCAAGATAAAATCACACCCACAAGCTCAGGAAATCTGGGAGGAGATCATACCTACTAAAAGGGCTACAGTGTGTAAAAACAGGGCCAAGAGACACTTTTTATTATCTTCCACACACCTGGGAATGATACCCATCAGGTCACAGTCAGTCCTGCCTGGTCACTAGGATGGGATGAGTGCCTGGGGTGAGGGCACAGGGCCTTTGGGGCTATGGGCCACTGAAGTCCTCTGTATCTACCACATGGTCATTGCCAGGGAGTTTGTTAGAGTAGGCCAAGTGTAGCAAGATGCCAAACAGGACGGAAGTCAAGTACAACTGCTCTGCCCTCTACCTTCCAGGGTCCCACAGGAGACATTGTGTAGTGCAGTTAGCTGCTGGGCAGGAAGTGATAGAGTGAAGCACCCATGTTTCCTGGGGAGGGTGAAGCAACCCTGCTGACTGCTGACACCCCTCATGTTGTCTGTTGCTTTCAGATGAGTTCCTTCAGGGGACCAGAGGTAATGGCCTCACAGCACCCCCTGATGCACAGCCCCTCTTCTAGGTGACGGAGACTAAACTTTGCTTGTTATAATCACATTGCAAACCAGGCATGGCTGTGCACATCCCTCATTCCAACACCACAGGATGCTGAAAAGTTACAATAAAAGAGAAAGGAAGCCATACCAGGCAACTAAGCAACTTGGTGAGACCCCTTCCCAAAATGTATACTAATGGGCGGGGGCTGAGGGCAAGGGGCTATTGATCTAGCACAGTGCAAAGGCCCTGGGTTTAATTCCCTACATTGACCAAAAAGCCACAAAAACGTGATAATGCTGTGCTCTCTGCTGAGATGTGTTTCATCTTCCATTTTTGATTATGTGGTGGATAAAAGAGCCTTATCTGCACTGTAATATCATGTGATAGGAATGCACCCACCTTTGTAGTTGAGGGAAGGTCTTCCCTATATGTTGGTACATTTGTTTGCTTGGGTTTTTTGTTTGTTTTGAGACAGTCTTGCTTATAGCTCAGGCTGGGCTCGAACGAATGGCAATTCTCTTGCATGTTTCTCAAGTTCTGGGTTACAGGCATGCTCCATTACACTCAGCAATCTTTCCACCATGAAGGTAGCAATTCTTTCCCATGAAATGCAGCTGCCTCCTGTCTTGGGGAAACACTGCTTTGACAGTCATCCCTGGAGTGCTCTTTACCTGCGCTACTCAAAAAGCTTTTCTCACTCATCTGTCCCCTGGTGGTGAACACTGGCTCTGAATTCATGAAGGACCAAACTCAATGTTGTTTCTATACAAAGGTTCATAACCAAATCAAAAAGCAAAGGATTTGGAAATGAGGTGGGCTGGTGAAGGGTGGGCAAGGTTATCAAGCCCAATATGGAAACAAGTCTGCCATTACCTTCTCTCTCCTCAGCTGAGGAGAATGGCCCAGGAGGACACTGCCTGCAGGAAGGGGGAGCAGCCAGAGGCCTGGATTTCTGAAGACCCAGGCAGATGCCAGCCTTAGGTGGCTGTGCTCACAGTTATTTCCTTGCCAGGCATGAGGTGCCTTGGGCACCAGTTCAAGTAATGGGTGCCCGCTGGAAGAGCACAGTGCAGGAAATACATCTGCTCCTTTCCCTGAGTCCTTAGCTGGCTGAACGTGAAAGGCAGGTTCCCCAGGACACCTGCTGTGCCACTGTGTCTGTGCACATGGACCAGAGCAGGAAGCTAGAGTGCCACCTGGGGAGATGCTCCACCTCCTGCTCAGGCCTTGGCCACCAGCTTGCATTTGCATACCCTTGACCTCAGGAACCCCCATTGCTACCTGACACTGGAAGTCCAGTGCAGGTAACAGATCCCTTAGGCCACAGGTCATGAGCATTTGGAGCAAAAGTGGTCCCATTGGTCCCTATGAGGTCATCACAGGGAAGGCAGGGAAAAGCAGGCCTGGAATCCTCAGTTGACACACAAGTATCCCCCTGTAGTGTCCAGCCTCTCTCATTTGCCATGAAATGGGACCCCAGAGAGGGGAGACACAAACTCCAAGAATGTTCTCTGTGCTTAGCACCTGGGAGCCATAATGGCAGTGGTGCAGGCTTTGGCTCCTCTGCTCAGCAGAGCCTTTTCTGAGACTGCAGGACACAGGTTCATTCCCATCCTCCCTGGCTTTGGTCCTTGCCTCTCTCGGTGGTTCACATGCCACTATAGGTGCCACATGCAAGTGTCTGTAACCAACTGGGTAAAACAGCAGAAAGCAACCTGGCCCTGAGGGGTACTGCTCCTTCCCCAGCACAGTTTGCACTGATGCCCTGGCCCACTGGATGTGACCCCACCCCTTGCCTGTGGAACTTCTCCTGTCTGCTGCTATGCTCAGGCTCTTCTGTGACCTTGTCCTGCATATTTTCCTGGGCACCAATAATTCCTTCATGGCCTTGGCCATTATCATGGGCACACTGTGGTTGGTCACCAATCTGAGTTTCCAAGAGGTCAAGGCCTTGATGAACACAGGTGGTGCTTGGGCCACTGCCCCTCAAGGCCCCTTCCTGTGACCATGAGATAAGGTTGTTTTCTTGTTAGAAAAGCAAGTCTATGAGTGGAGGAAGAAGCCAGTGCCCTGCTCCCACTATCATGCTGCCTGCTGCTATCCTTTCCTTGTGGGAAGCACAAAGCCCACTGCCTGAATGGACTCTTATTACTGATGGTCACCCCCAAGCATCTCCTGGGTCAAACTCTGGCAGCAGCATTCTCTGGAGTCCTGAGCATCCCAGACTCTGAGAATCATGTGAAGGATGTGGCAATCTCGGGTCCTAGTGGTCTCACAGGTCAAGGTGGTGGTCCCAGGGAACAAAGGCCTGGAGGGAACAAAGGCCTTGAAACACAAGCCCAAGCCTCCATCTGCACCTTGCCCACTCTGGTCCTTAGGGCCCTGATAGGTGGTCTCCATGGGTGCTGGAATGTCGGAGCTACTCAGTGAAGAGTTCACTGTTCAACTGAATTGTGCAAATTCAGCAGGGATTTCTGAGGAAATGTGAGTTGCAAATGCACTGACAGTAAAGAACTACTCAGAGGACCCTGACTGCAGTTTCCCTTCAGTAAGAGAAATAGAGGTGAAGGTGTTGCATGCCTCTAATGGACAGCAGGGTGATGTACTCACAGAGGGGACAGCCATCCTAGGGCTCTGAAGAAAGCCCATGTGGGGATCTGGTGAGTGAGTCTGAGCTGGCCTTGGGTTCTGGGAACCACAGGTGAGGATCAGTTCCACTTGGGGAGGGTGGGGTTCACAAGATCAGATCCCAGGAAGGGCCAGCCTGGCTTCTGCATCAGACCTGTGAGTGCTAGGTGCTGTCCTGAAAACTTTTGGGGACCTGCGCCCTGCTTGGTCCTTAGCAGGTGTGTCTTGTCCTACTGTCACAGGATCTGGGAAGACAGGGGCAACTAGGAAGCACAGAGAGAAGGTGAGTCCTTGTCCCAGTCCATCCATCCCAGCAGGCTGTGGCTTTGGGGACACACATGGCTCATCAGAGCGGCCATGAAGACCCTTTGGTGACTGGCTGCCTGTGTGACTGGGTGTCCCTGACCAAGGGTGCTATGGGCGAGTCAATGAGCAGGACTGTGATCTTTCCCAGTCCTGTTGCAGAGCCCACACTGCAGCTCAGGGCACTGCTTGTGCTTCCAGAGGCCAGTGTGTCCCTGCAATACACTCATTTCTGTGAGGCCTTAGGGGAGTCCTGATGGTCTCCTCTATGCCCACCTGACAGCCTAGCACCTCTGCTTTAGGTGTCCTTGACACACTAACAAAGAAACACAGGCAGAGTAGATCAGGAGGTAGGTTCCATCCAATGCTCTGTAGAGGAATTATAATTAACCTGAAACAGGGTTTATGGACCAAAAATCAAATATGAGAAAACAATGCTCTATTGGACAGGGACGCAGCAAGAAATAGGGGCAACTCGACCAGCACCTGCAGAGAGGTCGGAAAGACATGATACTTTGATGCAGTAGAGAACTACTCAGCTATAATGAAGCAAAACCTTGAGACTTTTGTAGGTAAAGAAATACAACTTGAGATCCAGTCCAGGAGTGAGAAGGTTCAGAACCACTTAGGTAAATAGCAGGTTGCCCCTCTAATCTAAAAATTGAGGGAGTTGGTGGGACCCAAAATGTGCAGTGCACTAGGTGGGAGTGAGAGGGGAGGAATAGTCTACAAAAGGAAGGCAGAGGACATTGTATATAATAGTGTATCAGGATTTAACACCCACATTACTCTCACCACTCTGTTTAGATGGATAAGACTCTATTCCAGTTTGTCTACTTGTACTAGATTTGAAGGCACAGACAACTATCCTGAAAATAGCAGGATACAGTACGGTAATGATTCTTAGTTTCCTATTAACTTAACCTGAAGCCCTGTATAACTTACACTGTCTTATTATGACTGATCTTATTTGAATCTGTCTTGTTAGACTGCTATTTTGTATTGACTTATTTTATTTGAATCTGTTGTAAATCATAGTATCAAGTCTGAGAGTAGAGGCAGCTACACTGGAGATGACAAGATTCCCTAAATACTCACTCTGGTTTGACTATTACCTGCTCTTAAAGTATTACAATGTCTCCAATATTTCATTTTTATTAATATTGTTATATGACAAGATTCCCTAAATACTCACTCTGGTTTGACTATTACCTGCTCTTAAAGTATTACAATGTCTCCAATATTTCATTTTTATTAATATTGTTATATACTGCTATATTCAATTATACTATGCCTGATGATATAGACAATTCCATTGAAGATAACAAGAGATATCATAGTTACCATTGTAGATTACCTTACATTGAGGTTTTATACGACTTTTTTGTTTGATATTTTTCTAGGAATTTGTTTTGTCTTGCTTTGTTGTTTTTATCCTGTACTACAGAAAAGATAGATATACATGTAGAGACTCATGCATGCCTAGAACTTATAAACAGTTTATGAAAATATTATCTAACACATGATAAAAAAAAAAGAGACACGAAGGTACCCATTGGTGAATCTGTAGCATCATGATGTAATGTCCAGCAATACTATTATTCTTTGTTCAGAGTGATTTTAGCCTGTTTTGTTTTGTTTAATTTTAACATACATGAAGGTATGGACAGCTATTTTGAAGAGAATGAGAGACATTATGACAGCCATTGTTGACTTCCCTATTGTCTGATCTTGAAGACCTAAAATGCCTTCACCATCCTGTTTGGATCAGTTTTATACTAGTTTGTTTTGTATGAATTCATTGTATGTGAAGATGTGGACAAGTATTTGGAAGAAAACTAGAGACAATGTGATAGATAGTGAAGATCTCTGGTTGTCTTGTTTTGAAATTTATGCCTCTTACATTACTTTCTTATGTTCTCTCTTGTTGTGTTTAATTTTATCCCCTTCCAACTTTAAAAAAAAAAAACACTAAAACTGAAGATTCTGGTTGACCTACACCAGGGGATCACCAATTCAAGCCAGACTGGCCAACTCAGTGACATAAAAGACGTTGTCTAAAAATTTAAAAGGGCTGAGGATGTAGCCTAGTGCAAAGGTTCTGGGTTCAACTCTCAGTACCATAAAACCGAACAAACCAGACAAACAAGACTGGAGATAGAGCTAGAGGTTAGAGAGCTTGCCTCGGGGCCCCAGACTCTTAAGTTTGCAGATTCTGGACATTTCATGTGAAGGAATCATTCAGTGCTCGGGTCTTTATGTCCGGGTTCTTCACTGGGTATGTGTTTAAGTTTGTCCACGTTGTAGGACGAATCTGGATTTCAGTCATCCTTCTTGCTGAAGATTTTGCTATACTATATTTCTGTCTATCGCCTGTCTTACGTTTATATTGTATCATTTATTTTCAGAATTTTTTGGAGACAGGCCCTTACTGTGTAGTTCAGGCAGTCCTTGAACTCACTCTGCAGCCCAGATTGGCCTTGAGAACTCATGGTGATCCTTCTGCTTCAGCCTCCTGAGTGCTGGAAGTAGGTGTGTACCCCCAAACCCGGCTGCAGTTTCTTCTTTCTTTCTTTCTTTCTTTCTTTCTTTCTTTCTTTCTTTCTTTCTTTCTTTTTCTTTTTTCTGAGATAGGATCTCGCTACGCTGTTCAGGCTGGCCTTGAGCTTTCTTTGTAGCCTAGGCTGGTCTAGAACTTGCAAGGATCCTTCTGCCTCAGCCTCCAGAGTGCTGGGAATACAGGTGTGCCATCATGTCCTCTTTGGCTATGTTTCTACTTTAAAGCCAAAACAGTTTAGTTTTTCCACGCTGGCACCTGGATCTTACTTGTTTTTTTTTAAAGCAACTCTTAAGTCATTGATAGTAGATAATTTGAAGAATGGAGTCCAAACCAGGTATAGTGGCCGTATCTGTAATCTCAACACTCCAAGCAGCCTGAGGTAGGATGGTAACTTCAAGCCAGGCTGGAAACTCAGTAACCTAATGAGAATGTATCTCAAAATTAAAAAAAAAAAATACTGTGATGAGTGTAACTATTAAGTACTGCAAACACATACCAATACAAATAAAAAGTTAAATAACAGCTGAGGTTGTAGCTCAGTGTGAAGGCTCTGGGTTTGATCACCAGTACTGAAATACAGGGCTCAATGATCCAGTGTCTGCCTGGAAAGCACAAGGCCCCAAGTTTGATTCCCAGCACCACCACCAAAAAACAACAACAAAAATAAGTAAATAAATAAAATCATACATACATAAGTAGCTTGGCACGAAGGCCCACAACTATGATCCCAGCACTCAGGAGCCTCTGGCAGGATTGCTGTGAATTCGAAGCCAGCCTGGGCCCCATGATGAATTCAAAGACAGCCTGAATTATATAGCAAAACCCTGTCTCAAAAAACCAGGTAAATAAATAAAAGAAGTAAAGAAAGGTAGATTGTAGCTCAGCACAAAACCTGTTTATTCAATCCCTAGTATCATAAGAGAACTAATAGAATATGAAAATACCTTCCAATTACCAAAAATTGTCTCTGCCTCCATGTTTCAAAGCTAATGCTTATCCCTTGTGTTAATGCGTAGATTGCGTCTAAAAAGTGGCTTGCCAACTAAATGTTACAGGGTTCAGGTTGTTGGCCTCTTCTTCTGGAGGTGGATTCCAGGTTCTTCTCATCTTGAAGGTAGAATTAAACAAATGAATCAAAAAGCAGTGGCAAAGTTTATTCAAGTACATAGAAGTGAAGAGGGGGAGAGAAACTGGCTCTGCAGAGCAAGTGTGGACAGAGTAAACATAAAAAGATGGTGAGAACAAAGATAAAAGTTCATGTTGCATCTGGGAAACATAGCATGGGCTATCAGGGAAAGTTATGATAGCAAGCTCTCCAATGGCATTGATGAATCCTTTTATGTGGTCCAAATTTTGAGGAAATGCATGAGAACTTCTGCATACAGTTCCTGAGATGCCCTACTGGGATCCTGCTAAGCAGGCCAAAGTCAGGTCTAGACCATCCTACTGAAAACTCAGGTAAACTCTCAGGAGATGTCCACCTGCAGGACTTTGGGAATAGTTCCGTGGATGTGTCTGGTGGCTAACAGGTGACACCTACTTCCCTAGCCAGCTTTTGGCACATGCTAATCTCCTAGCACATTAGTGCACCCATGCTTAAGGTCTGAGATGTTTCAAACTTTATTTTCATAGAATATGACCTGTAGTCCACCTTGTGAGTTCCCATGTTTTCCCCACGTTGAACCCGTCTCACCTTGTGTTTTTGTTATGTCTCCCATCTCAGAGACAGCACAATCATCATGGCAACAGTTCAAAGCTGTGACCTGATAATGCCTAACTCCTTCTTCCCAGAGGCCCCTATAGCTTCTTCCTTCAAAAGTCTCCCAAAACTCAGGCATGTAAAGGTTTTCCCAATCCTCTGCACACTCACAAAATAAATCAGCTCACATCAGTCTCCAGATCCTACCCCCATCTGAGGCTATATCAGGCAGAACCTGCCCTTTGTCTGCAGGGAGAGCTGCCACAGGCTTCTCTGTGGTGACTCCTTCCATTCCTCACGCCCCATTAAACTCTTTTCTTATCTACTTGCCTCCTCTCTTTAATAGTGTGTTGCTCTAGATTGAGTACAAATCACTCACTCAGTTTTACTCTATAAAAGTCCCTAAAGGGACAGTCTTTCACAACCTCCTGGGGACCCCCTTCTCTCTCTCAGACAGAAGCTTTCTTTCTCTCAATAAATACATTCTGCTCTTAACTTCCATTGTTTCTAAAATTCATTCTCTGCTTTTAGAGAATACGAACTCATACTGGGACACATAGTAGGTTGGGAGTTTTGTTCCCCTGTATCACTGCAACACCAGGCTTTCCCAGAACCGTCTTAGTACCGCACAGCACTTGATGGATCTATTTGTGTACTCTTGTGCATCCTAAGTTCCTGTAGGCTGGAGACCAAGCCCACTTTATTTTTCACAGTTCCTGTGAGTCTTTTGGGCAACAAGCTCTTATCTTATTGTGTTAAAGAGATGGGCCTTTAACTTGAGGATCAGCATTCACGCAGAATTAAGAATTTCTTTTCAACCTGTGTATAGGTGTGGCTGTCATGGCTCAGGCCTGCAATCTCAGCTTGAGACAGGGAGGTCAGGCAGAAGTATCACGAATTCATCTGAGCCTGGGCGCTTTGGGGGAGACCCTGCCTCTGAATAAAAAGGGCGGGAATGTGACTCAATCGTACAGCACTAGCCCAGCAGCACTTGGCCCTGGGTTCGATTTCCACAACGCAAAAACAGAGAAAAATGCATGCACGGGGCTGGGGATTTAGCTCAGCGGCATAAGTGCCTGCCTTGTAAGCAGGCAGTTGTGAGTTGTGAGTTCGATCCCTGGTACCGATAAAAAAGAAAAAGACAAAAAAAAAAAAAAAAAAAAAAGAAAAGAAAAATGCATGCACGCAGCAGTGACCAAGACTGTCCGTTTTCCCCACACTGTTTTCCTTGTGCCTTCTTTCTCCCCTCGGCCTCCCCTGTGCTCTGATCCCAGCATGCCTGCAGCCAGACACAACGCTGGAGCCCTGGCTGCAGCAGGCATGAGCGGGGCAGGAAACGGTCTCCACGCGCTTCCAGCGTTCCCCGCGCCAGCACCGCTTCCGGCTGGCGGTCGCCATCTTGCGTCCTGGCGGGAGCCGCTGCCCGCACTAAAGATGGCGGTCACGGGTGGGCGTGACTAGCGACCTAGACCGCGCGGGCCCATGTCGGCGACCGAGGAATTCAGGCGGGAGGGCCTAGCGAAGCAGGTGGAAGGAGAAGAGGAAGAGGCAGTAAGATTTAAGCGGGCAGCGCTCGCGGCGTGGCGGGATGGCTTTGCGGGCGGCGGGCGGTCCGGGCGCGCGGCCCCTGGCACCTCCGCGGCGCTCAGTCCTGGCGGCCCCGCCGGGGCTGCAGTGGAGCAGGACTGGGAGCACCTTAGCTGAGGTCGCTTGTTTCTCGTTGAAAAACGCAGGCCCCACTTATCACAAAGGCGGGATGACTGTGGCAGGAGCTGGGGTTTTGCTTGTTAACGCATCTCTTTGCTCACTTGCGCGCTAACTGGTTAAGCTTTTTCTTCCATCAGGAGCAGTTCGTTCTGGTGGAGTTGTCAGGAATTATTGATTCAGACTTTCTCTCCAAATGTGAAAATAAATGCAAGATTTTGGTGAGTCTTTGGGGGGTTGTAGGCTTGCTTGACCGTTGAGAAGAAATGGTGCAATACCCGTTCTCAAGTCATACACTCAGCCCACCTTCAGAGCAGCAAAGAACAGGGTCCCTGCGGAAATCGAGAGGTGTGTCACTGTGCTCCAGTGGCGGACGGGAAGCTTTTGGGGGGAACATTTTGTCATGGAATAATGAGACATATTGAAAAAATGCTGTATTTTATTTTATTAGAATAAAACAAAGCAAACCAAAACAAAACAGAAGAAAGTAGAACAGAGTAAAACAATACAAATAACACAGGATCTCAGAAAAAGCAGGAAATCAACTGTGGCTACCATAATGTCTCTTGTTTTCTTCAAAATAGTTGTCCATACCTTCATACACAATAAGTTAATACATCAAAATAATATAAAAGCAAACAAAACACAAGAATAAGAGCCTTAAGGACTTTCAAGACCAGTCACTTGGAAGTCAGTAATGGCTACCATTAATGTGTCTTGTTTTCTTCAAAATAGCAGTCCATGTATTCATACGTCATACTTCATTTTAGAAAGTGAGATGGAAAAAGCAAGCAAAGGGAGGACAGATTTTCCTAAAGAGGTTAAGCTGTGAGGGAGAAAAGGTCCAAGAAGATAGCTCTTAAGAAACAATTTAAAAGACATTTTTCCCTTTGGTGGTGGAACTCTACCATTTAGCTACATGCCCAGCCCCACCTTATTTTATATATTTTTAAGCCAAGTTCTGGCTTAAGTTGCCCACCATGGGCTCAAACTTGCAGTTGTCCTATCTCAGCTTCCCAGAGTGCTAGGACTGATTTTAGGTGTGCACCACTATGCCCAGCATTTATTTATTTATTTATTTAGGTACTGGGAATTGAACTCAGGACCTAGGAAGGCACTTATGTTGCTGAGCTATATCCTAACCACCTCCCCGACTTTATTTTATTTATTTTTTTTTTTAAGACAAGGTCCTGCTGTGTAGCCCAGGCTGGCCTTAAATGTGTGTAAACCTCTGTCTGCCTCCAACATGCCAGGCTTGTTTATTGCCTCTCTTTGGAGCATAGTAATGGAGAGTGAACCCGGGGCCTTCACATGCTCAGCACAGCTCTATCACTGAGCCAAACCTATCATTTTAGCCTAAAAGCCCTTGAATTACTGTACACAAAAAAACTTCCTCTTTTCCTAACTTTAAACTTGAAGAGAATGGGCCAGGTGTGGTGTGGTACAAGCTATAATCCTGGCATTTGGGAGGCTGAGGCCAAAGGTACATGCACAAGTTTGAGGCTAGCCTGGGGCTGGGGATTTAGCTCAGCGGCATAAGCGCCTGCTTGGCAAACATGAGGTCATGAGTTCAATCCCCAGTACCAAAAAAAAAAAAAAATAGGAAGTTTGAAGCCAGCCTGAATTTGAAGCCAGCCTCCATTACAAAGTGAGACCTTCTAAAAAAAAATAAAAGAAAGAAACTGATCCATAAAGTAAGTAGCCTTTGGACTATAGCCCCTGGGATCAGAGCAGTGGTAATTTTGTACTTGGTAGAACAAGATACTCTATCCTATCCACACCTGGTGACACATGTCTGTAATGCCAGCGTTTAGGAGGCTGAGGCAGGAAGATGGTGAGTTGGAGGCCATCCTGGCCTATGCAGTGAAACACTGCCTCAAACCTCCTCTCCTCTCCAAAACAGGCTGTAGACTAGGTTCCCCAATGTGGGAGATGAGTTTTCTTGGTAGGCAGAGGACATGTTGGAGGCTTTTTCTCATGACTTGATGCTCCTTTATTCCGCCTAGGGGATCGACACGGAGCGGCCCATCCTGCAGTTGGACAACTATGTCTTTGCCGGAGAGTATGAAGGTAGGAGGGTGTCAGCTAGATGTTGCCTTTGGTACTCTTTTCAGAGAGGTAGCTTGCTGTTTCTCAGCAATTTGCCTTCAAATATTTCTGCAGATACTCTTGGGACCTGTGTTATATTTGAAGAAAATGTTGAACATGGTAAGTAATTGTTATGCCAGCCCAGCTTTTCTTTTCTTTTCTTTTCTTTTTTTTTTTTTGAGGAAGGGTCTCACATAATGTAATCATTATGTGCTGCAAATGTATACTAATAAAAAAAAAACTTTATTCTTGTCTTCAGAAGTGATCACTCTCTTGAATTTAGTGTTTATCTTTCCTATACCTCATTTTCCTATTCTGTTGATCTTTCCTATACCTGGCTTCAGTTTTTTGTTTTTTGCCCTGAGGTTGAACCCAGGGTCTTGTTCACGATAGACAAGCTGCTCTACTCTGACTTATCCCACAGCCTCAAGCTTGAAAACATACACAATGGTACTATTTATTGTTTGTAGATACAGACATACGTAATACAAAATTAGGCATAGGAGCTGGGAGTGGTGGTGCATGCCCATAATCCCTGCACTAAGGAGACTGAGCGTGGAGGATCATCATGAGTTTGAGGCCAGCCTGAGCCACAAAGAGAATTCATGGCCTGCCTGAACTAATAGGAGACCCTGTCTCCAAAAACCAAAAAAAAAAAACCCAACAAAATTTGATAACATGCGTTATACATCATTCTGTATCTTTTTTCACTAAGGTGCATTTTCAAATTATACATGTTGAGATAAACATATTTTTGTATATTATCCCTACTGTGTCCTATCCATTTTTTGGCTGTGCCACAATTTATCCTCCAGATCACTGCTACTGTGTGTGTAAACTGATAACTACATTTTCCTTTGGTACCAGGAATTGAACTCACAACGTTGAGCATGCCAGGCAGGCACACTTGTGCTGTTGAGCTAAATCCCCGGCTATTGAGGACCTGGCCTAGACCCCCAATCTCCCAAATGAGTGTACAGTGAAGGCTTAAATAAATGAGACGAGTGGTATGATTTTTAGGCCTCCAGGAGGATCAAAACCCTCTGCAGAGTTAGAGATTGTGGGCTAAGATAGGGAATGTCTCTGGGAGGCCCGTATTTATTTAGTATTCAAACAAGGAAGAGATTAGAGTGGAACATGCAGGGAACCTAAGCAGGACCGTGAGGGGTTCAAGGACCCCTCCAAGCAACAGACTATGCTAATTAAGAAGAGCTAGCCTAGGACAGTCTCCAGCTGAGTCCCTCTACAGAGTAAAATGTCTGTGGCCACAATCTCTAGCCTATTAGGATTGGAGCCAGATGTCCTAAGCTGGGGCCTGTCTTGCTCCCTGAGGCCTTTCCTTGTTCTCGGTTCAGCCACGCCACAGCCTTGCACATATTCAGCTTCAATGGCTCCAAACCTGGCTTTTTTTTTTTTTCCTTTTTGAGACAGGGTCTCACTATGCAGTTCAGACTGGTTTTATTTTATTTCATTTATTTATTTATTTTTTTATCAGTACCAGGGATCGAGCTCACAACCCTGCGCTTGCAAGGTAGGCGCTTATGCTGCTGAGCTAAATTTCCAGCCCTCAGACTGGTTTTAGCTCACTTTATCACCCAGGCTGATCTCGAATTTGCAACAATCCTCCTGCCTCGACTTCCCAAGTGCTGGGATTACGGGCATTCTCCACTACTCCTGATAATAGATTTTTGATAACTACACTTTTGAGAGCAGCACGGTGTTGTCTCACGTGACATTCACCAGTAATTATTACTAGCTATTACCGATATGATGTATTATTCTGAGTGCCATATGCATTGACCTTTAATCCTCGCCACAAACTGAGAAGCTAGATACTGGTATGATTTTCATTTTATGGTTGAAGACACTGGATCTCAGATCGCTAACAAACACACATGAGCTCACACAGGAAGTAAGTGGCAGAACCGGGACTTAGTTCAGGCTGTCTGGCATCAGAGCCCACATTCTTGTGTGTGTACTGGGGACTGAACCAAGGACTCACACCTGCTGAGCTCACTGTCTACGCCAGAGCTACGGCCCACAGCTTTAGTTATGCTTACATTTCACTACCAAGATGCTGTATACATATTCTTTATGTCTTCTTGTGTACATGTATAAAAATGACTGTCGTGTTTACATTGAGAAAGACATCGATGGGGCTTTGGGTGTGGTTTAGTGGTAAAGATAATACTAAGCTTGTGTAACACCTTGGGTTCAAGCCCCAGTCCCAAAAGAAATATATGAACAGACACGAACAAGTTGTGAATTTACACTCACAGAGCAGTGTGTGGAAGTGCTCAGTGCCTCCTCCCTTCTGTCTAAGCCCAGTTCCCTGATGCTACAGTTCCAGGCAGCAGGTTGGCAGGAGTTTTGCCCAGCTGCTTTTTATGTCAGGATGATCCTACCTTAGCCTCCCTCAGACTTAATGTTCAAAGACTGACTTTTGTCTCCCCCTACACAGTACTGGAGAGAGAGCCTGTGGCCTTCACACACTTGTATCTGTAGCTCTTTTTATTCCGAGACAAGGTCTCATTAAATTGCTGAGTTGTCCATGCTGGGCTTGAATTTAAGATCTTCCTGCCTCAGCCTCCTAGAGTGCTAGGATTACAGGTGTGTGGCACTGTGCCCAGCTGTCATTCTGAGTGGTAGTATCATGCATAACATCCTGAAGGACACATCTGGCTTTTTTTGTGTTTCTTTTTTTCTTTTTTTGAGACAAGGCCTTGCTATGCAATTCAGGCTGGCCTTGGACTCACTTTGTAGCCCAGCCTGGTCTCAAACTGGCAATAGTCCTGTTGCTTCAGCCTCCTGAGGGCTGGGATTACAGGCCTGTGCCACTGCACCTGGCTCTTTTTTTTTTTTTTTTGTTAAAAGCAGACTATATGGGGCTAGGGATTTAGCTCAGCTGTGTAAGTGCCTGCCTAGAAGCGCAAGGTCATGAGTTCGATTCCTGGTACAAAAAAAAAAGACAAAAGCAGAATATATTTGAGAGAAAGACAGAAGGTGTCCTAAGTAGGTTACCAAAGACTTTTTTTCTAGGGACTTTTATAGAGCAAAACTATGAGGTGAGGTGGGTCTAAGGTGGGGGAAAATGGGAACTCGCAAGGTGGGTATGAGGTGAGACAGAACTGGTCAACCAAAAAGATGAATTGTTCAGGTAAAACTGGTTAAATCAAGGACAAATGGGGAAGGGAGTCACATAGCAGGGGGGCATACTTAAAGAGCAGTGACTTTCTGTGGGGGTTAGGATGGGGACTCCTGGCTTCCTCAAGGAAGGACACATTTCTGATTCCACTTTCACGCTTTAAGGGTTGGGCTTCTCAGGCCTGTCCATTGACTGATGCATAGTTTTTTTCTGTCTCTTGGAGATGTTTGCTGTTTTTGTGTCCAGTTGTGCCTTCAAGTGATGCATTTTATCTGTTATTTCTCTGTGATTGGAGCAGGAAGGGGACTTACACTCTGGAGTACTATACTAACTTGTTAAGTACAGGGAATTCTTGGAGCTTATGTCATTATTTTATTTGACGGCATCAAGCAGTATAATAGTTGAGTTGTTTTATGTTCTAGTGGATACAGAAGGCAACAGTAAAACAGTGCTGAAATATAAGTGTCACACAATGAAGAAACTCAGCATGACCAGAACTCTCCTGACAGAGAAGAAAGAAGGAGAGGAAAGCACGGGTTAGTTCACTTAACTCACAATACTAGTGATGTTGTTTTGCTCTTTTTGTTGTTGTTGTTGTTTTGTTTTGTTTTCTACTAGGAATTGAACTTACCACATTGTGCTTGCCAGGCAGGCGTTTTGTTTGTTTTGAGACAAGGTCTCACTATACAGTTCAGGCTGGCCTTCTGAGCTCACTTTGTAACCCCAGGCTGGGTTTGAACTCAGAAAGATCTTCCTGCCTCAGCCTCCACAGTGCTGGGGTTACAGGCATACGCCACCACGCCCACCTCTCATTTTGGTTTTGACAATGACTCGTAGCCTTCAGGACACTCCTTGCGGTTGTGGTAAGAACTGTGTGTAATATGCTTATTGTTTTAAAACTGAGCACTTACTGGCATATGCTGGCTCTGGGTTCATCCCTGACTCCACAAACTAAATAAATGAAACTCTCCAGCAATGGAATTGGCCTCTTTTTGAGCTAAGAACAAAACCTAGAAGGTTTTAAGACATCCATTTGGATAGGAGGTACAGTTCAGTGGTAGAGCACTTGCCCAGTATCCAAGAGGCCCTGCGTCTGATTCCCCCCACCCCCAGCATAACAAACTAAAGAAATGAAACTTGAGCATGCTACATGAAAGGAACCAAGCATAGATTAAAAATTCGGCTTGTTCTAATGTGGCTGAGGCATACAATAAACATCTCTCTGCTCTGCCCTGAAACAACCATGGAGAGTTTGCTAAGAGACAAGATTTCCAAGCCCTAGGGAATTCAGCAGCATCTGTCTCTCTCCTTATCTTTCATTAAAAACTTCATCTGGAAATTGAGTGGATGTTGCTAGCATTTTTGAATTCCCAAGGTGTAACTGCAGGGAACCACCCAGAAAGTTTTGGAGACTGCAGCAGCCTTCCCAAGAAACTTAACAGCTGGAAGAAGCTGATTGTATGTGTGGATGAAACTCTTTTTTTTTTTTTAAATCTGTTTTTTTTTTTTTTTTTTTTTTGGTCTTTTTTGTTTTTATCGGTACCAGGGATCGAACTCACAACTGCCTGCTTGCAAGGCAGGCGCTTATGCCACTGAGCTAAATCCCCAGCCCTGTGGATGAAACTCTTGACCACAGTTGTTGGTCCTGAGTCTAGTCCTTAACATCCATTTAGTGTTCCCAGCTGTGCCCATCACAGTCTAGAGACTAGGATATCTTGCCTCACTGCAGGAACCTGGCTGTGATGGTTTAAACTTTCATTGCTCATAAAAATAACTGAAACTAGCTGGGCGTGGTGGCTCACGCCTGTAATCCCAGCACTGGTGAGGCTGAGACAGGAGGATCGTTGCGAGTTCGAGACCAGTTTAGGCTACAAAGTGAGCTCAAGGCCAGCCTGAACTGCATAGTGAGTCCCTGTCTCAGACAAAAAAAAAAAAAAAAACCTGAGACTGGGCATGGTGGCACATGCCTATAATCCCAGTGCTTGGGAGGCTGAGACAGGAGGATTGATGCAAGTTTGAGGCCAGTCCTGGCTACACAGTGAGTTCAAGGCGAGTGTGAACTACATTAGCAAGACCCTGTCTCAAAACAACAAAAAGAGGAATATTTGAAACTTTAGCAAATAAGACTCTGCTCATAGCTTAATAGAACTATGTTTTAGGCAAGGGATAAACACTTTAAAGGTACATTTATCTATAGAAATTATTATATCAAATGTGCACAAAACACTTTTGTTCTTTGAATATCCCAAAAATGTATCTCTTGTGTGTGTGATGCTGAGATAGAACCCAGGGCCTCGCACATTCTAGGCAAGTACTTCACTGCTGAGGTGCAAAACGCAGCCCTTTGTTTTCTGACTTTTGAGACAGGGTCTTGCTAAGTGACTCATGCTGGTCTTGAACATGTCATCCTTCTGCCTCAGCCTCCAGAGTAAGCTGGAGTTACAGATATGCACCACTGTGCCTGCCTAGAAACTATTCCTTTCTTAAATGCATCTCATTAAAAATAACAAAGGAGGAGGTTCTAGGCCCTGGAATGAACATGAAAGCTTAGCTATCATTAGATAACTGATTAAAGGAATTTTGGGATTTCCTCACAGTGTTTATTGTTCTCATTATAATAACAAAGAAATCAGAATCTCATCCCTGTGAATCAGGGAGTTAGGCTCAGGGTCTTCCCATGAGGCTACTGTCAGTCTGCTGTTTAAACTGCTGTCATTTTAGAGCTCGAGTAAAGCCACTCTGATTGTAGGTGGCACAGTCACATGGCTGATAGGCTGTTACTGCTGTTGGTAGGAGGCTTCGGGTCCCTACTACCGGACCTCTCCACAGGACTGAGAATAGTAGCAGCTCACTTCTCTCAGATCCAGTAACCCCTGAGAACAGGTAAAGTCTCCATGGCTTTCAGCATCTACCCTGAGAATTTGCACTCTGACATTTCTGCAGTTACCGGTTCTGTGTAGGAGGGAGCTGCACAGGGGCACCGCACCGGAAGCTGAAGATGTCTGGCTGCTCCCTGGGCAGTGTGCTGCGGGCAGGATGAAAGAGACAGGTGTAGCCTGTACCTTTTCGGTGCTTGTGCTCTAAATCACATTCTGCCTGGGGAGGTAACTCAGGTAATAAGCATGTGTTCTAGTCAGTGGTAGAATACATGTTTATTGTGCACTAAGTCCTAGGTTCAATCCTCAGCACCAAAAAGCAAATATTACATAATATTGAGACAGACATACACAAATGTGACTCAGCAGCCAATTTGTTTAAGATTCTGCTATATGCTGGGTGCTATGCTGAGTAACAGAATAGTGCCCAGGTTTTGAACTTGGATAACTGTAGGAATGATGTTATTGTGGAAAAAAACAGGAGGGGAAAAACTAAATTGGAGGGACAGCACTAATGAATTTTTGAGACTTTATAGGAATAATGAAAAGATACACTCAGCAAGGAAGCTTCAGCCCTGGAGAGGAGTCAGGTTATTATAGCAAATGGGAGCAGACAGGAGTGGGTAGGTGGGAAGGTCAGCTGAGGTACTTCAGAGACATCCAATGGAATTCAGCAGGTGCCTATTAATTTATATAGTGAACCTAAGCTTCTTATCCATTGAAATACTTGGCTAAAAGGTATTAAGGATAAGAGGGAAAATGGCATTACTGGAGAAATCCTTGACTGTGGGGTATTAAGAGGTTAGGGACTTACTTATGAGTATGGAAAGGAACAAGAAATCAGTTTTGGTTTTGTTTTTTGAGACAGAGTCTCATTCTTGAGGCTGATCTTAAACTATGTAGCCCAGGCTGACCTGGAACTCAGTGCAATCCTCCTGCCTCAGCCTCCTGAGTGCTAAAATTACAGGTGTGCATCACCATGCCGGGCCGAGAGCTGCTTACTTCACAACTGGATTTTCCAGCAGAAAATGATTTGAGTGGGCTGGGGAGGTAGCCAGTGGTGGAGCATGTACTTAGCAGGTGAAGGCCCTGGGTTCAATCCCCAGAACCCTTCTCCCCACAAAAAAGAACGATGAGAGCCCTAACTTGGATGGTAACAGTATGGTATAAAGAAAATTAAATAGGTAGAGAGAAAATCGTAGGAAGGTGACCCAGTTTCCCTTAAGAAACAAAATGGCAGTGAGAACTCAAATTTCTTTTCAGAGTTGAGAATTTAATGCTGGGAAAAGTGTGATCGAAGTAACCACTTGTAATTGTGAAGATGCATCCCCTCTAGGTCTCCATGGAAGATGAAAAGGACACATGTGACTTTTTATCAGTACTTATAGTTGGTTTATACTGGAGTTTTACTTCACCTACACGTCCAGAATGAACCCTTATGGTCCACTTAAATTCCTTTTCATGTTTCTTTCTCGGTTTGTCCCTTGTCCTGCCCAAATTAGGAGGAGTTGAGTGGCTGCAGCTGAAGGAAAATGATTTCGCCTACCGTCCCAACATGATCTGTAGCTTTATCCATGAAAATGAAGATGAAGCTGAAGCTCCAGCCTCAAAAAAACGTTTGAGGGTGGAAGAGCAAGAGACTAATGTGAAAGAGAGTTCACACCTCATCTGTGACCAGCAGAAAGCACCGGAAGCAGAGGATTCTGGTCCTCCTGTTGGCCTCTCTTCTGAGATGGAAGGTTCTGTTCTTATGGAAACTCAGTTTGCCGCCTAAAAATCACCCCGAGATACAATGCTCCTCATGATAACTAGTCATGAACTCGTACAAAAGCAATGTCATGTAAAATAATTGGCTGCACAGCTTCCAGCTATTCACTGTTTTTGTTGGCCACACAGACATTTCAGTTATAGCACAGTGTAATTAACATACCAGAATCATTCGGGACCTGATAGGAGTTAAATTTTTGTTTGTTTTTTTCCATTCCAGGTCTCACGCTGTAGTCCGAGCTGGACTTGAACATGCCGTGTTGTCTAGGTTGGCCTTGACTTCATAATGTTCCTGCCTCAACTTCCTGAGTACGGTTAAAATTTTAAAACAGGAATGGTGGCCCACACCTGTAACTCCAGCTGCTCGTCAGGCTGAAGCAGGAGTTCAAGATTACCTGGGCAACTTAGGGAGACCCTGTCTCCCAACAAGGGGGTGTGTTGGGGATGTAGCTCCGTAGTAGAGCACTCCTGGGTTTGCTCCCCAGGATCACAGAGCAATAAAGTTTACATGACTACATTCCCTTGTCTGATGAGTATTGTAAATTGAGTCTTTTAGTAAGGTGTGAGTTTTTTCTATTGCTGTTATTTCCTGTTAACCCCCTAGTGTAAAGGTCAAATGTATTGTCATACAGTTTCGTAGGTCCTAGGTTGGACACAGTCTCGAAGACGTGAAACTCTAAGCCCTGGCAGCACTTTTCTGGAGGCTGGGGGTGGGGGTAGCGATGGATGAATCCATCTGCTTGCTTATTCAGTGATTGGCAGAAATCAAATTCTTTGCTGTTGAAGAATGAAGGTCGCATTTCCTTGCTGTTTGTCAGATGAGGGCCATTTCCAGCATCTAGAAGCTGCCCACATTCCTTGACCTGTGGCCCCTTCTCTTCAAAGCTACTAATGGTGGTTAAGTCCCTTTTCCATTTTCAATCTCTCCTGCTAATTTTTTCTTTTTTTGGTGGTTCTGGGATTTGAACCCAGAACTTTCTACTGAACTACAGCTGCACATCTGCAGCCGCTTTTTCCTGAAGATAGGGGCCTAAGTTGCCTAGGGTGATCTCAAACTTTTGACCCTCCTCCCTCAGCCTCCTGAATAGCTGTTATTACAAGCATGTACCACAGGCTTTGGCTTCTGTTTCTACTTTTTTTGGTCTTTTTGAGACCCTGTTTCACTATGCAGTTCACACTGGCCTCGAACTCACTTTGTAGCCCAGGCTGGTGTCAAACTTGGAAGTGATCCTCTTGCCTCAGTCTCCCAAGTGCTGAGATTACAAGCATGTGCCACCAGGCCCATCTGTCTCTACTTTTAAGGCTTGCCTATTTGGAATTTCCTTATTTGAGATGTTACTGTAAGTATCTTTTGCCATGAAATTTCATGTACGGGCATGATAATCTTTAGGGGCCGTTCTCCATTCTGTTATAGGAAGTTTTTAGGAACAGACAAATTTTGAGGTGCTTAAAGATAAAAAGTATAGTTCCTAATATTTCAGCTCCTAATATTTCACTCTTTTCCCAATTGAGAAAGATTATTGGGATTCAACTATAATAATCATTATGGCAAAAACCCTGGACTTAGTTTTTTTTGGTGTGTGTGTGTGTATACTGAGAATTAAACCTAGGGCCTTCTCACTTATCCTAAGTCCTTTTTTTCATTTATTGTTTGTTTGAGACATGGTCACACTATGTAGTTGAGGCTGGCCTTGAGCTCACTTTGGACACAGGCTGGCTTCAAACTTGGTGTTCCTCCTCTCAGCCTCCGGAGTACTGGGATTACAGGTGTGCATCACCATGCTGGCTCATTATTTTGAGACAGAGTCTTGCTAAGGCACTAAATGCCTATCCTTGGCTTCAACTTGCAATCCTGCCTCAGCCTCCACAGGTTAAAAAACAGCAGTGTCGTGCATTTGTCCTCACACTAATAAAGTACATCTCACATTGATGGAGTTATAACTCCATCTGAATAGACTGCTAAATGCCTGAGCCATTATATATTTTCTTTTTATAGAATTCTAGAATTTATTCAAGTTGTCGATGTCCCAGCTTCCATTGTCAGTAAACATGGTTTTCTTAGTGTGTTTTGGCCATGAACATAGAATTAGAAGCATCAACTCTAAGGCATAAGGAGAATGGGTAGGCTCATTTTACTATTTTACTTTTGATATTGGGAGTTGAACTTAGGGAATTTACACTAAGCTATATCTTTAGCCCTTTTAACTCTGAGAGACGGTTTGACTGAGTTTCTAAATGCTCCAGGCTAGGCTTGAATTTTTGATGCACAGAAGCAGCAGTCTGTTACTGTAAGCCAGCAAGCTAGCCTGGTATGTAAGTGCTCTGTCAGCTACATTCTAGCCTCAAGATCCTGAATTACACCTACAAAGACTTTTTCCAGTAGTGTTCATGGGTTTGGAAGATTTAAATATGATACGTATATTTTTCTGTCTGTCTTTTTTGAGAAGGGGTTTACTAGGTTGCCCAGGCTAGAGTTGCTTCAGCCCCCTAAGTCACCAGTGAGGCAGGGAGCTAACAGGACTTTAAAACTGCTTCAGTCACATGTTCAAGGCCAAAAAGCAAAAACTGCAGAAAAAGGATTGAACCCTGGCAGTCTGACCTTGGGAGTCTGGGTGTGTAACTAAGGCAAGAGCTGGCAGGAAGTGAAGTAGGCACGGATAGAAAATGAGCAGGCTCCTACATTTTGGGGTTTTAAGAGGGAGAAAGAAAGCAAATGCTTAATCTCTGTGTCCATGTTTCTTTCTCATAATAAATTTACTTCAGCCTTGACACTGGCCCATGTGTGATTTCCATCTTACATGAAATAAGAAATCATGGTAGCTGGTGGCCCTGGGACCATGGACTTGTCCCGCTGTGCCTGGCTTTTAACTACAACTTTGTTTTGGAGACAGGTTGCCCACGTTGGCCTTAAATGAATGATCCTTTTTCCTCAGTCTCCTCAGTAGATGGAGTACAAGCAGGCACCACCACTCCAGCTCAAGAGTAATTTCCTTATTACCACTGACAAGGCCTTCTCTGACCAGTCCTAAAATGATCAGCCACACCATCTGACCAAGACTGCTTGATTACGCATACTTCAGTCTCCTTGCTTTTACTGGCCTCTGCCTTTCCAGTATAGCTACACTAATCCTGGCCTTCACCATTACTTTTTGTTTGATTTCTTTGGGCCAAGTAACCAGATCTGATTTGTTGGAACCACCAAGACTTGGGCTCTGGCCTAGGACTCGTCCCAAGAACATTAGGCAAAGACAAGAATAGAAAACTACACACCATCCTCCCTAATGAATACAGATGCAAAAGTCCTCAGCAAACAGAGCATGTTGGTGCATGGCTACAATCTCAGCACTCTGGGAGAGAGGTAGGAGGGCTGCAAAGTAGAGCCCCACTTGAGCAACTCAGCAAGTTAACGAGACTCTCAAAAAAGGGCTGCAGTTGCAAATTGGAGCCAAGGTCCAGGATTGAATCACTAGCATTGCAAACAAAACGAAACACCCAAAATAAACATATATATAAAATAAGCATACACCACAACCACGTAGGATTTGTCCTAGGAATGCAAGGTTGGATGACATGTGAAAATCAATCCATATAACACCACATATTCAGAGGAGTAAAAGACTACATGATCATTTCAATAGATGCAGATAAAAAATGACAAAAACCAACATATGTAATAAAAACACTTAAACTGCTACCAGGAGCAACATCACCACTCCTTTCTGTTACGTGTTTATTTATTTTGTGTTTTTGAAACAAGATCTTACTATGTAGCCCAGGCTGGTTTCAAACTTATAATGATCCTCCTGCCTTGGTCTCCCATGTAGCGGGATTATAGGCGTGTGCCATCATGCTCAGCTGTTACTTTATTTTAAAACAAGGTCTCATTAAGCTTCCCAGGCTGGTTTCAAACTGCAATCCTCCTCCTTCAGCCTCTCAGGTGGTTGGGATTATAGGCTTGTGCCATCATGCCCAGATTTGCACTTACCACTTGCATTTAACGTTGTACAAGGAAATCAGACAAGAGGATGGAGAAAGGCACCAAAATCATAAAAATGTAAAAATTATCTCCATTTGCAGATGATATCATTTCTCTATTAAAATATTACAGGTGATCTTTCCAGGTATGGTTGTGCACACCTGTAATTTCAGTACTCAGGAGGCTGAGGCAGGAGGATCATGAGTATACCAGCCTGCGCTACATAGTGAGAACTTGTTTCAAAAATTAGGAGCCAGGGCTGGGGATTTAGGTCAGTGGCAGGAGCACCTGCCTGGCAAACACCAGGCTGTGAGTTCAATCCCTGGTACCAAAATAAATAAATAAATAAATAGTACAGTACATGAAAAAATTAGGAGCCAGCTGTGGTGGAACACTCCCATAATCCCAATGCTTGGGAACCTGAGGCAGGCCTGCTGTGAGGCCAGCCTGCACTACACAGGAAGAACCTGTCTCAAAACAACAACAAAAAAAAAATTGGGGGGGAATCCAAAAAACGCTAAAAGACTCAGTAAGTGAACTCAGCTAGGTTGCAGTGTAAGATCACTATATAAACCTTAACTATATTTCTATGTATTAGCAATGAGCAAAAAAAAAATGAAATTAAGAAAACACTTTAATTTACAATACCATGGGGCTGGGGATTTAGCTCAGCGGCATAAGCGCCTGCCTTGCAAGCAGGCAGTCGTGAGTTCAATCCCCAGTATGGGTAAAAAAGGAAAAAGACCAAAAAAAAAAAAAAATTTACAATAGCATCAAATTAGGGCATGTGCAGAGGTGCACCTACAAATTCAGCTACTTGGGAGGCTGAGGCAATAGGACTACAAATTTGAGGTCAGTCTGGTAATTCAATGAATAATAATAATAATTTTTAAAGGCTGGGGAAAAAAATAAAATGAAGCTAGGTGTGGTGACACACACCTGTAATCCCAGGACATGGGAAGTTGAGAAAGGAGGATCACCAGGAGTTTTAGGCCATCCTGAGCCACACAGTTTAAGGCCAGTTTTAACTATATATTGAGTCCTTATCTCCACAAACAAACAAAATCAAAAAAATTAAAAAGGATGTAGCTGCTGCTCAGTGTTACAAAGTTAGCCTGGTATGGGCAAATGCCTAGATTTGATCCTCAATATATCCCCCTGACCCCGAAAAGAAATCCAAACAAAAAACCAAAATAAAAACAAAACAAATAGTAACATTATTGAAAGAAATAGAAACCCTAAATAAATAGATCTTCCACATTCAAGACTGGAAGACTGGAAGATGCCAGTATTTCTTTCTCATGTTGATCTGTGGATTCAATCAATATCCAAGCCCTAGCTGCCTGTGTTGCAGAAGTCATCTTATAATTGATATAGGAATTTTATTTTGAAAAAGAACAAAGTTCACACTTCTCGGTTTCAAAATTTAATGTAATATTGCTGCGCATGGTGGCACTCACCTGTCATCCCAGTGTTACAGGCAGTTGAATTAGTTAGAAATATTATAGGCAGTCAGACAGGGCTGGGCCTCAAAGGAGCCAGAGCAGAAGTCAGATACCTTGCTGCCTTGGAAGAGACAATTACCTCCTGGTGTGGGCCAGATCTCAAGACAAGGCAAAGCAAATACAACCACATCCCGAGGATTCACAGTCCAAATAGTTCCCTATTACCCTGAGGAAGCCAGGAGTCAGCATTCCACCCCTCTACAGGGAGAGTCAGTGCTGTTAAGCAAGCCCGCTTAGTACATGACTCACTCCCCGATTTGCTCCTAATTTAATCAATTTTACCTGAGCAGTTAATCTTATTAACCACAGTTCTGTCCCGCCTTACGTCCACCTTGCAAATTCCCATTTCCCCCATCTTTGACCCATCTAACCTTATGATTTTACTCTATAAAAGTCCCTGAAAAAGACAAAGTCCTCGGCAACTTACTGGGGACCCTTTCTGTCTCTCTCTCTCAGACAGAAACTTTCTTTCTCAATAAATATATTCTACTCTTAACCTCTGTTGTTCCTAAAATTCATTCCTCAATTTTAGAGAACACGAACTCCTACCCGACATAGCAGGTCGAGAGTTTTCATTCCCCTATATCATCAGCAGTGAGGAGGCTGAGGCAGGAGGGCTGCATGTTCAAGCCCATACTGGGCTACACAATGTGTTTAAGGCCAACCTGAAAAAGCAACCCTGTCTCCAAAAAAGAAACAAAAACAAAACCACAACCAGAAAGAATAAAACAAAAACCCCACAATGAGGTACTGACCCGTGCTATATGTATAAATACAAAGTAAATTAGCTGAAAGTCAGTTTAAGGCCACAACTTGTGTGAGTCCATTTACAATATAAATGTTCAGTATAGACAAATCTATGGAATATAAGTAGATTTATAGTTGCCTGGGGTTGGCGGAAGGGAAAAACGCTAATGACACTACTGGGTGGTTGGGATTCTCTCTTTTGAGATAAAATATTCTGAAATTAGACAGTGGTGATGGTTCCACCTCTTTTCTAATACAGTGAGCCAAAACCAACGGAATTGTGATTTCGGAATTGCATGCCAATTTAAAAGTAGAAAATAATCACGACGATCAGTATTTTCATTATTTTTTATACGCCTGAGAACTGTGGTAGTAATAAACTGCCTCATTTGACCTCACCGTTCAATGACGCCCATTGCTCACGAGTATTTTTAGTCACTACACGAATACGTGCTATACTTCGAACTCTTCTAGCTTGTTGGGGCATTCCCTGAGAACACCTGGTCCCTTCATACCCGACTCCAGATTTACTGACAAACCTGTGCTTCGGTCGCGAAAGGCGAAACAAAACTGTTACGTCGCATTTAATTTCCGGCAAAGGGTCGAGACGTAAACCCGTAACTAGGGAAACAGAGCGCGGCCCCACCCAAAATGGCCGCCAGCGCCTAGCGACCGGGCCGTCCCAGGAAGTTGCGTCTCGCGCACTTTCCGGTTCCGGCTGCTCCGGCGCAAGCGCATACTTCGCGCATGAGCGCAGTGCGCGTGTTTCCTGGAGCGAGGTGGAGGAAGAGATGGATCCCTTGGACCGAGTTCTGTGAGTGCGCTGGGTCCCCTTGAGGAGAGGGTCTCCTGTAACAAGAGTGATATTGTCTCTGTCCCCATCTTCCTGGTTTCCACTTTCCTTCTTGACCCTCTTTGACGTGGCAGGGTGAGGGCCTTTTAATACAAGTTTTAACACGTGCAGCTTGCAGAGTAGCCGAGCCGGGAAGCGCGCAGGGTAGCAGCCTGGTAGAGGGCAGAAGCCTGGGCCGCCTATATCCTAACCTTTGGAAGACGTCTGGAGTCAGGTGAGGTGGCGCGCGCCCAGCGCTCTGGAGGTGGAGGCAGGAGGGTCGCTGCGATTCGAGACCAGCGTGGGCTACATAGTGAGTCCAAAGCCAACCTGGTCTGTATAGCGACACCCACTCTCAGACAGAACAAATGACAAAAACCCCAAACATGTCTGGAGGAAAGGTAGTGATCGATCCTAGGAAACGAAGGCATAGATCTTTCGCAAATGGAAAAGTGATCAAGAGATGGAGGAAAGAGGGGAAGGGGACATAAAAAAATTAAGATGTATTTTGTGTCGTTTAGCAACTCTCCACGATGAATGTAATCATTATGTACTGCAAATAAGTACTGTTAAATAAAGAGAAGTCCAGGGACTGCTCTGTGGTAGAGCACTTACATAGCTTGTAGGGGGCACCAGGTTCAGCCTGTGTTGCTTGTACAAACGTACTCAGAAACGTCTGGCTTCTGAAGACACAGGGAGGTGGTAGGAGGAAGGCTTCGGAATCTAAGAGATCTTGGTGACATCTGGGATGGCCATTAAACCTTTTTTGTTTTTTCCCAGCATTGGGGGATTGAACTCAGAGCGTGTGCACTGAGCTGCATTTCCAGCTTTTTTGTTTTGAGAAGGGTCATGCTGTGTGATCCAGGCTGGCCTTGAACTCACACTGTGACCCAGACTGGCCTCCATCTTCCTGCAGCGATCTTCCTGCCTCAGCCTCTCAAGGGTTGGGATTACAGATGTGTGTCACCACGCCTGCCCTCACTAAACCTTTCTAAATCTCAGTGCACTCTGTAAACTAGCGATCATAATAGTCCTGTGGCATAGAGGTGTGCTTCATGATGGATGTTTTTGCCACAGCAGGTAGAAAATGTTAGGTTTTTGTTTTCCATCCAACTTGGTACATTTCCTCCAGTTATCCTGATTGATGTTTGTTACTATATTTTTTATTTTTGTTTGTTTGAGACAGGGTTTCACTTTGTAGTTCAGGCTGGCCTTGAACTCACTTTGTGGGCCAGGCTGGCCTTAAACTCACAGCAATCCTCCTGCCTCAGCCTCCCAAGTGCTGGGTTTCCAGGTGCGTGCCACCATAACTAGTGTGATGTTTGTTTTAAATTCGTTCAGAAAATAGGTGTTGGAGCTTGTAAATATTCCTGTTTGCTGTGCTTTCTCTTGGGATTTTACCTAGACTAATATGTCATCTAAATGACAGTTTGGTTTTAGCGGTTTTGCACACCTCCTGTACTTAGGTGCTGAGACTATAATGATGAGCAAGACTAGTTTACATTCTGATAGAGGAACAGACAGCTAGGAGAATAGGTAAAGCACTATTTACATTTGTTGCTGGTTAGTGAGAAATAACAAAACAGGTAATAGAGACTACGTTGCCCTTAGCTACCCTAAAGAAACATTACATGTTTCTTCCCCCACTTTTTTTTTTTTTCCCCTGTTGCTGGGGGTTGAATCTAGGGAGCACCAGTCTTTTGCATTTTTAAATTTCTAGATAAGGTTAAATTACATGGTTCAGATGGCCTAAAATTAGGGCATCCTCCTGCATGAGCCTCCAGAGGAGCTGGGATCACAGGTATATGCTGCCAAGCCTGGCTACGTATTTCTCATATTTCTGAAATCAAGATTTGATAAAATGGTGTCTTTATTAGCCAGTAAGTGACATAATAAATACGTAGCATTTTTATTCCAGGGGAGAATTTTTAATTCTACCTGGGAGCTGGGTGAGGTGGTATACACCTGGCATCCTAGCACTTTGCAAGGCTGAGCTAGAGGATTCTGAGTTGGAGCCCTAATATCCTAGGGAGACCCTGTCTCAAAATAAAAGCTAAAAAGCTTTGGGAATAGAGCTCACTGCAGAGACCCTGGGTTCAATCACCAGTTTACCCTCCTGCAAAAGAAGAAAAAACGAACAAAACCAAAATGCACAAAAGGTTTTCAAAACTTCTCCATGAGAAGCTAAAGTGTATGTGTAGTATACCTGGTTCATCTTGTGGCACCCCCACCTCCACCCTGGAGATTAAATTGAGAGCTTTTTTGTTTTTTGGTGGGGTTTTTTGGGGTCTTTTTTTGAAACAGGGTCTCACTAATACAGTTCAGGCTGGCCTTGAAATCACTTTGTAGCCCAGGCTGGTCTTGAACTCAACAGTCCCCCCATCAGCCTCCTGAGTGCTGGGATTCCAGATGTGCAACACCATGCCCAGAGTTAAACCCAGAGCCTTGGTACTGGACGGTATCTCCAGTCCTTTTTAGTTTTGGAGACAAGGTTTTGTTTACTTCCCAAGGCCGCTCTCACATCTGGATTCCTCTTAATCCAGCCTCCTAGAGTGCTAGGATTAGAGCCATGTACCCTCATGCCTCGCCTGTCCTGTTTTTGTTTTATTTTTTCTAACTTAATGTCTCCATACTACTGCAAGAGGAAGGGTCGTAGTTTTTTGCGGGAAGAGGCTTTTGATAGATGGCAGAGAAATTTTGAAAGGTAAAACACTTGTATAGAGGAGGCGAAGGAAACACTTTCTGAAAAATATGTAAAAACATGGCACTCCTGTCACTTCTTAAGTCAGAATAATGAATGTATTTTTTCTTCATATTTTACAGGGTACAGTAAGTGGTCTTAAGATAAGTTTTTAAATCTAGCTCATTCGGAAGATTGGTCTCTGTACTGTGTGACCTCGGGTAGATTCTTTATTCATTTTAGTTCATTTATAAACAGAGTAACTGTAACTATAGGGTTGTGTTGATGGCTCACTGTGTAGAGTTACACTATAATAGTGCCAACAATTCCTGTTCTTGGAGAGCAGTGATGTGGATTTTCTTAGCAAGGATGTTCGAGCGGGACAGTGTGTTTCCAGGCAGTCACTATAGTGTTGACCCTGGAAGAAAGATTATTATAATCAGCCTCCCTAGCTTTAGGAAATGCCCACATGTCGATATGCAGTTCTTTGTGTTAGGGTGTAGGCATCAGTTTATTTACTTTAAGTTTGAAGAAAAAATAATGAAGTGAAAAAAAAAATCATTGGAATCCTTTATTTTTTAATTGAAAAAAAGTTAGAAGAGAGTAATAAAAGAATATTGGGAAGATCAAAATGAATTTTTAAATAAAAAGCTAATAAACACCAGTAATAGGAAATCTTTTACTGATAACTCACTAAATGTGAGATTTTTGTTTAGTGGTGGAGTCCCAGTTGATAAATAGGTAAGTGGTATATAGATTGATTGATTTTTTTTTTTAAAGAATTTGTTCTTGTTCAAGTCTTGATTTTGCAATATGAGGAATATGTTTAAATTGTTATAAATTGTGCTTTTCTCAACAGAAAGCCCAAAACAAAAAGGGCCAAGAGATTCCTTGAGAAGAGGGAACCAAAACTTAGTGAAAACATTAAAAATGCCATGCTGATTAAAGGGGGAAATGCAAATGCAACGGTGACACAAGTCCTGAAAGACGTGGTACGTACATCCACTTACTGTGTCAGGGTATTGAAGTCATATAAGAAGTTTTCAGCATGCCAAGTTAGGCTGCTGGAGAAACATGCAGGTAAGTCAGCCTTGTCTTGCCATTGGCTAGCTTTAGAGAAGAACTGAAACCAGAAGTTGTTTGCCGTGCCAGGGCACACCGATTACAAATTGGAGATTCTGGAAAATAGTAAAGTCATTGCTGTTAGCCTGGCAAAGAGCGGTGGAGTCGGGTGGTGGTAAAGAAGTGAGAACTGATTAGTGCACAGCTAGTGAGGGCAGAGGCTTTGGGTATTGATGAGAGTGACGGTGTCCCAGGACTCTGGCTTATGTGCCAGTGGGCAGTGTCTGGATACAGGTAAGTGCTCAGGAAGTGTATAATCAGCATGTGTAGGTATCTCATAGGGAGTTTTGAGTTGTAGGCCTTAAATATAGCTGATAGACTTTATTGCGTTAGGTCAACCAACTAATTTAATTTTTTTGGTTTGGTTTTTTTTTTTTTTTTTCCTTTCTTTCTTTTCTTTTTTTTTTAAACTGTCTCACTAGATAGTCTAGGGTGGCCTTAAACTCATGATTGTCCTTCTGTCTCTACCTTCCAAAGGCCAAGATTACAGATGTGCACCAGCTTGCCCAGCCTTGAATGTGTTTTAAAACTGGACAAAATTCCTTTTTTTTTTGAGGGAGGGTCTCATTTCATTGCAATCCTCCTGCCTCAGCCTGCCAAGTATTGGGATTCCAGCGGTGTGCCACGACGCCTCGCTTCCTTCCTTATGCTTACCAGACATAGTCAATTCAGGTGTCTTAATGCTAATATATGCACATCTTTTTCTTCTTTTTTGTTCATCCTTTTTGAAATGGTTGTGTAGATGTCATTGCATTGACAGGACAGTGCCCCTTTTTTTCCCAGATCCTTTCCACACAGCGACCCTTTGTTTTTAAGTAAGTTCTAAGATTAGCATGGTGTTTCTGATTTTCACAGTGGTTCATACTCAAAATGGTGACCCTGGATTGTCAGCAAAATGAAGCTGTGTTCATTCCCTTGAGACAGGGCGTGTTTGGCTAGGAACCATCATAAAAAGTTTTAGCTGAAAGGGTGACGTCATTGGTCGGTTTCCTTTATTTACTAGCCTTGATAGTTTTTCCTCTTGTTGACATGTTTCTCCAGCACAAGGCGGTGCCTTACATCTTTGCTCTTCCCTTTGTGCTGTTGCCTGGCCATGTAGGTAATAATAGCTTATTTGTAGGACAGTGGAAGGAAAAAAAAAAAAAAAACAACTAGAAGGGAACAAAAAGAATTTTTAAAGGACTGTGTTTGAACGCTGGGCAGTGTTCTCGTCGTCATCACTGTGACTGTTCTGGGTTCTGTTACCTTCAGTTACTTCAGTGCTGTCACCTCTGACAGGTTTTGTTTCGACTTTGGCCTTTCTACTCGCATTTTGCACGAAGAGAATGAACTGGGTAGAGTTTAAGAAAAGAAGGAATTATGTAAATTGGAGAGACCATTGGAAGGACATGAAAACCTTGAACTAGTAAAGTCTTGTCTAAGTAGAATATTAGCCATAAGTTACAAGTTTCTCTGTGTGATCAGAGGGAGCCAAGCAGAAGACACCAGAACAGGATTCCGGCTCTAGTGGTTTTGTAGAATAAATGTTACAGTGCTTTATTTTTATCTCTACTTTACAGAATGTCTTTTTTGAAAGCTATAAATTATGTTTTACAGTATGCACTGAAAAAGCCATATGGAGTTCTGTATAAAAAGTAAGTTGTGATTTTTTAAACTTTATTAAAATAAGTTATTTTATTCCACTGTAAAAGTTACAACCATTCTATGGAAGATTTAGAGAAAAAATTAGTAACTATAATATGCATATTTTGAAACAGTTACAGATTTACAGAAAGTTACAAGAGTAATACTAGAGTTCCTGTATATCCTTCGCCTAGCTTGCCCTAATGTTCTGTTTGGTTTGGTTTGGTTTTTCAAGACCCGGTCTTGCTGTGTAGTCCAGGCTGGCTTTGAACTGAACCATGTAGTCCAGGCTGGCCTCAGACCTACTTGGTTGGCAGCCGTTTCTCCACTAATTTTTTTCTTCCTCCACGATCCCACCCTGCATGTTTTTCCCTCCCTCTCCCCCTTCCTTCTCCTTCCCCTTTTCCATCTCTCCCCTTCCTTTCCCTTCCCCCTTTCCTCCCTCTACCCTTCTTCTCTTCCTGCTCTCCTTGTTTTCTTCTTTGAAGTACTTGGAATTAAACCCAGGGTCTTCATATACAGCCCCAGTCCTTTATTATTTTGAGATGGAATCTGCAAAGCCACTGATTTGCCCATTGGGCTGGAATTTGGAATCCTACCTCTGGCTCCCAGAGGGCTGGGTTTATAGGCTCATGCCACCATCCCTAGTGCCACATGTTTAGTTATCCTGTCTCCCTAGCTCTAATTTGTTACAGCTCCTCAGTCTTTCTTTTGTCTTCTGTAGCCGTGACACATTTGATGAAAACTACTCAGTTATTTTGTACATTATCCCTCTACCTGAGTTTAAGTTTTGTCACGAGTAGGTTGAAGTTAGTATTTTTGTTAAGAACATCACAGAAATACTAAGGTATGAGGATTACTATGTTTCTACTGGTGGGGTTACGTTGGTCAAGGTGGAGTCTTCTTGGCAGTGTAGTAGCGCATTCCTGTAATCCCAGCCCCTCTGTGCTTTGAGTTCAGGGCCAGTTTGAACTGCTTAGCAAGGCCCTATCTCAAAAAACAAAAAATAAGCAATCCCCACCAAGAGTGGTTTCTGCTGGGTTTCTACCCTATAAATTAGTATTTTTCTCTGTGTAGTTACTATTGGTTGGAAGGAAGTACTCTGAGACTGCAAAGACAGTTGTCCCTCATTGTCTATTGCTAATGGGTCTGTGGCTCCTCGAATACCAAAGTCTGGATGCTCAAACCCTTGCATACGGAATGGTGTGGTATTTGCTGCCAACCGATGTACATCTTTCTACACACTTTATTTTTTACTTGGTATATTTTTTGACACAGGATTTCACTGTGTTCTCCGGGCTGGCCTCAAGCTTAACAGTCCTCCTGCCTCTAGCTCTCACTTACTGGTGTGTACCAAGATGGCCTACAACCTCCATCTACTTATTTATTTATTTACTTTCTTTCTCTCTTTCTTTCTTCGATCATTCTTTCTTGTCTTTTTGACACAGGGTCCCATTAATGCAGTTGAGGCTGGCCTTCAGCTCACTTGGTAGCCCAGGCTGGTATTGAACTTGCAACTATCCTCTTGCCTTAGTCTCCTGAGTGCTGGGATTACAGGCATGCACCACCACGCCTGGCTCCGATGTGCTTTACATCTAGGTTATTTACACAACCTATTGCAATCTAAGTGCTGTGTGCATGGCTGTTACACTGTGTTGTTCAGGAAATCCTGATAGGCAACAAATTGTACGTGTTCAGTACAGATGCAGTTTCTCTGTCAAATACTTCGTATTTCTATTGATGCAGAATGCACAGGTAAAAGAGCCAAGTGTATCTTTCTAAAACTTTTGCTCATTAATTTTAGCATCCATTGCATTGTGTGTATGTGGGTGTGTGTGTCATAGTGATTACTGTGGTGCTCTAATAGTGGTTTTGTTTCCATCATTTCTTACACATAGACTAATTAGATTTCTGAAGGAAGGTCCATCACTCGTGTACTTTTTAGTGTCTTAATTCAGTGTGGACTCAGTATATTCTCCTGGGATGTATCCAATGCTGTCATTGTTGTGTTGCTGAATTTTTCTACCTTGTTGCAATACACTCCATTCTCATATAGACAGAACAGTCCTTTAAAACAAAACTTAAGGCTGGGGCTGTAGCGCAGTAGCACAGTGCTTGCCTAGCATGCACTGATCCCTGAGTGCAATCCCCAGTACCATAGTAAAGAAATAAATTCAAATAAAGAAAGAAAATTTAGATCTGATCGTATTACTGTCTAATAGTAATCTGAGAAAGCCCTGTGTAATCTGGGACTTGCCTGCATCTGCAGTGTGTATCACACCATTACCTTTTTGCTCACTCATCTCCAGTGACATTTATTTCTGTTTCTTGAAGAATTTTTCATGTCTATCTCAATCTTTCCTCATTCTGTTCCTTCTGAGAATCATCTTAACCTCAGAACTTTGCAGTGGTTAACCCATTAATCAGGGCTCTTCATAACAATACCGTATGATTTTGTTTTTGTCACTACAGTTGCTTTATTTATTCATTTATTTATTTTTGAGACGGGGTCTTGCTATGTAGTTAAGGTGATCTCAGACTCACAATGCTGTCCAGGGTGGCATTAAAACAGATGATGATCCTACTGCCTCAGCCTTCCGAGTTTTGGATTAAGGTGTGCACCACCGCTGCTAGCTGATTACTATTGCTGTTTAGACTTACTAGTTTTCCAGCAGGATATAAGCTCCATGAACCACTGCGGTGGTGGACATAGAAATCTCAGTGCTTGGGAGGCTGATGCGGACGGATCAGGAGTCGGGTGCTGCACAGTGAGTTTAGGCCTGGCCTAGACTACATAGAGACCATATTCGCTGAAAAAGAAGAAAAGAAAAAATAATCTTCATGCAAGCAAGCATGTAATGTTTTTTGACATAGCATTACAGTATTCTTTGCTTCTACAACCATGTCTGGCATATAGCAGATTTAAGGTATTTGAATAATTATCTTTTTTTTTTTTTTTTTTTTTTAATTTAAGAGGAAAAAGAGAAAAACACAAAACAAACCAAAGCGGTGTAAGGGTACACGTAATACAGGACTACAAAAAAACAAAACAAAAAAAAACAAACAACAAAAAAACCATAACAGTAAGAAATCACCTGTTAGTAGATTACATATTATCATCTTGAAAATAGTTCCTCAATTGAATAATTATCTTTCCAGCTACCATGCCCAGCTTTTCCAGTTTTTTGTGTTTTTTTTTTTCTTTTTCCTTTTTTTTTTTTCAGAGCGTCTCACTATGCAGTTCAGGCTAGCCTAGAACTCACTTTGTATCCCAGGCTGGTCTCAAACTCACAGCGATCCTCCAGCCTCAGCCTCCCAAGTGCTGGGATTATAGGTGTGTGCCACCATGCCTGCTTTCCAGTTTTTTTTTTTTATCCCCAGTCATCCAAGTATAAAATTATCTTTGATTTACACAAGTATGAATTGGATTTACTTAGCAAGATTATTAACCTTGGTATCATCTCTTTCATATTCTTAGGAAAAACATTACTAGACCATTTGAGGATCAGACATCACTGGTAAGTGTAAGAGTCTTCTGAAGAGCACATATACATGTTTTGTGAATTTGTGATTTTTGTTTTTTAATTTGACATCCTATGTGAGTATTTTTTTTTTTTTAAGGAGGTCAAGTACAGGGTCTTGCCAAGTTGTCTAAACTAGCTTTGAATGCTGGAGTTTATTCTCGTGCCTCAGCCTCCCAAGATCTGTAGCCCTCACTAGTAAATGTTATTCATGCTTTCAAGTAAATTGACAGAATATTAGAAATTGACCTGGCATGGTGGTCACGCCTCTAATCCTTGCACTCCAGAAGGCTGAGGCACACAGTGAGACCCAGTCTCCAAAACAAAATGTTTTAAAAATCTGACTTCTCCCTTCAGATACTTTCGGAACAAGGAACACTGTCTGAATTGTTGCTAATAGTTGTCATTTGCTTTGTTGGAGTTAGTCAGGTTCCTGTTAGAGTGTTATTGTCAACCAGAGCCAAATGAAAAAGGCTAATGAATGAAATCAGAAGATGAAACTTTGTAGTAAATGGTGAATGACAATGAACTTTGAGAATGTGATTTCATCAGTTTCTTAGAAAGTTTCTTGTTTATTATTATTGTTTTGTTTTGTTTTTCAGAGGGTTCCTAGTTTAGGCCAGCCTCCAATTTAAGATCCTCCTGTCTCAGTCTCCAGAGTGCCAGGATTACTACAGTGCCATACCCAACTTTCTTAAAATATTAAGAGAATCAGTGTTTTAAAATACTAAATTTAGCCTGATATGGGGCACATACCTGTAATCTCAGCATTCTGAGAGGCTGAGGCAGGATTGTACCTTTGAGCCCAGACTGAACTAGCTAGACCCTGTCTCAAAATAGAAAAATTTGTTTTAAAAAAGGGCCACGATCATCTCGAGTTTGTGGCCAGCCTGGACTACGTAGTAAAACCCTGTCTCAAAAAAATAAAAATAGAAAACATCATTTCCACATCACCTGCTACCAGGCACTATGCAGGTTATGCTCGTGACAAGTCATAGGACCTTTGCAGGTTTTCTCTGATGATAAAATTCTCAGAAGTGTTAATTTGTCCAGATGCCGTAGAATGGCAGGGCCTCAATTCTTGGACTTCCTGGCTTTATGGTCTTCACATTGGGAGTTCATCTTCAGGTGGAGGACTTTTTGTCCCACCTTTTGCTTCTGCTTATGTACTGGGTTGAATGATAACCACACAGGCGCCTGCACCTCAGTCTTTTTTACCAGTGAAGTAAAAGTTGAGGGTTTTGGCTGTTTATCTGTTTACCTTTTGGTCATTAATTTGGGAGGTTTTCGACTGTTTTTTTTTTTTGTTTTTTTTTTTTTTTAAGATAGGTCTCACTGTGTAGCCCAGGCTAGCCTTGCCTTTGTCTTGAATTCAGAAGGTACCGGGATTACAGGTTGCACCACTTTGTTCAGGTCAACTGATCTTTGGAGTAAAACACTGAATGTAATTTTGTGCTGAGATTGGTGATTTCAATAAATTGAGTCATGGGCAATAGTGAATATATGCATGTGGGATATGGTGGGGTATAGTAAATGTCTGCATAGTGGAGAAGGAGCTCTTCAGGATTAAATATCATGCCTGTATTCCCACTCATACCTGTAATGGAAGCCAGTGTGTGGTATGTGTGTGTTCCTGTGTGCCCTTGCTTGCACACATGTGTGTGATTGGGATTGAATCCAGAGCTTTTTTTTTTTTTTCTGAGACAGTCTCATTGTGCAGTTCAGTCTGGCCTTGAGCTCACTTTGTAGCCCAAGCTGGTCTTAAGCTCCCAACGATCCTCTTGCTTTAGCCTCACAAGTACTGGGATTACAATTGTGTGCCACCATGCCCAGCAAACACAGGGCTTTTGCAGGTCCTTTTCTTACTTTTTGAGACAGGGTCTCTAATTGGTAAGTTGCTTAGAGTGCTGGGATTATAGGCATTTCCACTATACCTGGGTAAAAGCCAATAGGCTGAGAGCCAAAGAAGGTTGATCTTACATTGGTATCCGTTAGCCCTACCAGGCATCCTGCATGACATACAGCAGTCATCACTGGGTGGCATGGAAATGGAGGGCCAAAATCCTGTGGGTACAGGTTTGCAGTGACAAGTAGCAATATGCATTATAAATTAATGAATCCACTTACAAATACCCAAAACACTGTATTGATGAAATTCACATAGGTCTGCTAGATGTGCTAGGTAGTGCCATTGATAGTATTAGTTACGATCTGTGAGTAATGAGATTTATTCAGCAACTAAAATGCTTGATATGCTGTTCTAAAATTTATGTAGCAGAAAATAAATATATTTTAGTTTACTAATTAACATAATTAGTCTTAAAATGTAGCATTTCCCCCTAGATAACCCAAATCACAAAATTTGAAGTAAAAAGCTAAAAATATTTTCTTCTTTATTCTTATCTGCTTTGTTGTCTTTATTAACTTTCATTGGGGGGAAAAGCTGATACTTTTTAACATTAAGAGGTAGCATTCTTAAGGTTTTTGGTGTTGTCACTTGATTTTATAGGAATTCTTTTCAAAGAAGTCAGATTGTTCTTTATTCATGTTTGGATCCCATAATAAGAAGCGACCCAATAACCTAGTGATAGGTAAGTATCATTTCCATTTATGTTTTTATCTAAAGTTATTTCTAGTTCTTTTATATAGAGTTATTTCTGACTCCAATAAACTAATGGTGTTCAGGATTCAGAAGTAACTGTTAAGCTTTAAGTAGGGTTTTGTTATTGTTGTTTTTTATTTTATGACACTGAATGAAATTATTTTCTGGGCAAGAATGTAGCTCAGTGGCAGGGTGCTTGCTGAGCTTGTGAGAGCCCCTGAGTCCAGTCCCCAACATGTGGACAAAAAAATTGTCTGCTTGTCTTCCTACTAAGACAGAGAACTTAACATGAGTAAGAAAGAATATGGTTAAAAAAAAAAAAAACAGAATGTTGTAGAGTTCCTGGGTATTCGTGTGTCTTAGGGTATACCACTGCTTCTGACTGTGGAAGTGAGCTCTGTTTCAAACCAAGTGTGGCTCTGGGATTCAGCACCCCTGTCTGTCTGGTTGCAGATCTTCATGGTTACCTGCTACTTGAATCGAGTATTACCAAGCTCCCATAGCTCACTGACCCTGGAATTAGAGGGAACATTGCCTCGTTGTAGATACTGTTCTGATATGAAATGTGATTAGGGAAAAAAACATTTATTAGCCTTCATAATATCACTTGCGTAAATACATTTTAAAAAGAGCCCTTGCTTACCTGTTTTGAGGTTTACGCTGCCATGCTCACTGGCTGAAGGGGACCCTTTACCTCCTTTGGGCCTGGCCTCTCCTTTCCTGCCTTTCCCTCCATTCCCTTCTCCCTTCTCTGACTCACACTGTGTATCCCAGACTGGTCTGGAACTTCTTTTAGATAGGCTCTTGCTATGCAGTTCAGGGCAGCCTTGAACTCACTGTGTAGTCCAAGCTGGCCTCGAGCTCATGGTGATCCTTCTGCCTCCTGAATGCTGGGATTGTGGGCATGTGCCATGAAGCCTGGTTTTCCTTTGTATGTGTGCACACATGCTGAGGTTTGAACTCAGGGCCTCACACATGCTAAGCACACTTGATACCACTGAGCTACCTTTTAACTTCCATTTGTTTTGTGAAATGGAGGTGCCATAGCTAACATTCTAACAATCCAAGTTAGGTGGGGCTAAAAATTAAAGAAAGAGGGCACATGAGCCAGGCGTGGGGATGCATGCTGAGGCAGGGGGGTCACAGCCTGAATAAGAGATGCAAGCGAGATCCTGTCTCAAAAACACAAAAAAGGGTAGCGTGTAATTCAGTGCTGAGGTCCTGCACCAATCCTCAATTGGGGAGGAGTGTTTGAGGGGTATAGGGTGTTCTGAGCATGTAGGTAGGTACATTAGGCCTTCATTGGGGAAAGGTACATGCTTAAAATCCAAGAGGTCCTCAGAAAATGGAAAGAAATCCTTGTTCCTAGATAGACATACCGATGTAATGAAAATGGTCAGCTGTTCTTCCAGAACTGGTACACAGATGTCACACAGCCCTGATCAGAATACCAATAACATTGCTCACAGAACTAGAGAAAACATTCCTAAGATTTGTACAGAACCAGAGGAGACCTGGAATAGCAAAAGCAGTTTGGGGCAGCAAGAGCAAGGCAGGAGGCATCACAGTCCTGGACTTCAAGTTACACTGCAGAGCTACAGTGATCAAAAGACAGCGTGCTATTAGCAAAACAAACAAAAACAGACTTTGTGGGCCAGTGAATTAGAATAAGGATGCAGAGTCAACTCCAGGCACGCTTATTTTTGACACCAAATATTTTCACTGGAAGAAAGACAGCCTCCATCTATATACATGCCGAAAGTTAAACCAAGACCCACCAAACTAACATCAGAATGGATTAAAGATGTCAATATTAAAAATAGAAACAATCTGCTGGAAGACAAAATAGCTGAAACTCTTGAAGACATAGATGTTGGCAAAGACTTTCAGAACCCCAGTTCATGGTCTGGGATTTAGCACAGTGGAGTAAAAGCCTGCCTGAGAAATGTGAGGTCATGAGTTCGATCCCCAGTACCAAAAAAACAGAACCCCAGTTCAACAAGAAATAGTATCAAGAATCAACGAATAATCTCCCACCCCACCCCGTTTAATTATTTGCATTGCCTGGTGGATTTCTTTCGTTGGGGTTCATGGAGCTGTAGTCCTAGTTATTTCTTTGTAGAATGTCCTTCAGAACATTTTGGAGTGCTAGTTTGGTGTTCATAAATTTCCTCAGGTGTTCCTTGGAAGTATCTTATTTCTTTTTTTTTTTTTTAAAGCCAGTCAAATTTAGCAGTGGGGGGGTGGTATACCAACTTTAGTGACACTAAGGTTAATAAGTTCTGATAACCCACTGCCATCGGACCAGCCAGTATCTTATTTCTTAATGCTCATTTTTTGTACCAGAGATTAAACTCACGACTCATGCTTGCCAGGCAGGTGCTTATGCTGCTGAGCTAAATCCCTGGCCCTTCTTAAATCAGTTTTGGGGGGTATGTCAGTCTGCATTGGAGGTTGTTATCTTTTAGGGTTTGAAATACTTCAAGCTCTCCTTGAGGATTTGTATTTGAGAAATCAGCTGTGATTCTGAAGGGCTTTCTTTTATAGGCAATTTGTTTTTTTTTTTTCTCTTAACAGCTTTGAAGGTTATGTGCTTGGGTTGAATTTATGGATTTGTTTTTGTTTTTGTTTTGTTTTTTGGGCATTTTGAGGCAGGTCTTACTCTGCAGCCCCGGCTGGCCTTGAACTCATTTTGTAGCCTAGACTGGTTTTGAACTCACAGTGATCCTCCTGTCTTTAGCCTGCAGAGTGCTGCGATTACAGGTGTGCCCCACCACACCCAGTCCAGTTTCTGGAATCTTGATTAATGTGCCTGGCTATAGATTTTTTTGATCATTGCTAATTGGAGTTCTGTGTACCTCACTTACCTGTATGTCAAATTCTTTTTCCCTGCTAGGAAAGTTTTCTGCCATGACTTTGGAAACAGGTTTTTTCCATATCATGTGTGGTCTTGGTTTTTCATTTCCTTCATTCAATGTTATGTTACTTTTTTTATATCATCTAGCAGCTGCTGGGTTGATTTCTCATGATCCCTTTCTGTTAAGAAATCTTTTGTCTTGCTGGAGTTTTAGCCCAGTGGCATATGCACCTGCCTGGCAAGCTCGAAGTTGTGAGTTCCATCCCCAGTACCAAAAAAAAAAGAAAAGAAATCTTTGTCTTCGTGATCACTAACCACAAGCCTGTCTTTTGTATCTGAGATTCTGTCCTCACATTGGCTCATACTTTCAATGGAATTTTTATTCTCCTGGATATCTGCTTGAATCTGCTTTATGGAATCCATTTTTTTCCTGTGTCAGGCATGCATGATTTCCGTTATTTTCTTAAGCTCTTTTTTTTTTTTTCTTTAAATCTCTATCTGCTGTAGAGTCACTAAGCATGGTTTTCATTGTGATCATTATCTCTCTAGATTTCTGAGAAATTAGTTCTGATTTGATTTTTTTCTAGAACGTCATTTCTTTTCTTTGTTGTTAATTTCTTCAAAGAGGCCAGGTGGGGGGGTTTCAGATTGTCCCATCTCATTGCCCACTGGGTTTATCTTTGGTGAACTAGATGTCTGGGGTTGCATCTTCTTTAAGTGTGGTCTCATTAAGAATCAACAAGTAGGACTATATCAAATAAAAGCTTCTGTATAACAAAGAAAACCACCAACAGAGTGAAGAAACAACCTATAGAATAGAAAATACTTTATCCAGTTATGCATTAGACAGAGGACTAATATCTAGAATATATAAAGAACTAAAAACAAAAAAAAAATAGACCCCCCCCCCCAATTTAAAAGCCCAGTCAAAGCCAGGTATGGTAGTATACGCCTGTAATGCCAGTATACAGGAGGCTGAGGCAGGAGGATTGCTGTGAGTTCAAAGCCAACCTAAGTCCAGCCCAGACTGCGTAGCAAAACCTTGTCTCAAGACAAAATTGCAAAATAAAAACCCAATCAAAATGGGCATTTGAAATAAATAGACACTTTTCAGAGGAAGGACAAATGGCCAGTAAACACATGAAAAAGTGTTCGATATCAATGTGCATTTGAAAAATGCAAATTAAGACCACACTGAGATTCCATCTTACTCCAAGAAGAATGAGTATCTTCAAAAAATCAAGTAATAATTGCTGGAGAGTCTGTAGGGAAAAAAGGACCCTTTATTGTTGGCAAGAGTATAAACTATACAATCATTATGGAAATCAATATGGAGATTTCTCATAATAAAATAGAAATTCTATTTGTTCCAACTTTCCCCTTTTAGATATCTTAACAAAAGACTTAAATACATATACAGCAACACAATTCATAATAGCTAAATTTTGTAAGTGGTGTGTATGTCTATCAACCAATAAATGGATAAAGAAAATGTGTATATACACAGTGGAATCTTACTGTGCCATAAAGAAGGATAAATGTGAATCATTTGTTGGAAAGTGGATCTACCTTGAAATCATAATGTTAAGTAAATCAGATCTCAGCATGGTTTCTCTTATATGGGAAACCCAAAATACAAATAAATGCAAAATAAAAAACAGAAAATGATGAAGTGGATCTTTGGCATATGGGAAGGGAACTGAGAGACAGAGGGAATTGAGATTTAAAACAGCAGGAGGGTTGTGAAGTGCTATGTGCATGCACCAGATAATCAATCCCTAGAGGAGAAGGGGTCTAAGAGATCCAGGGGGTGGAAAGAAGAGGGCTTAAAAAACAATAAGGGAATGTTATGTACGTGTGCCAACTTCTCTATAAATGTAATCATCATCTGTGACAGACATGTACCAATGAAAATAAAGATACATGCTTAAAAATGGATTTTCCTTTTAGGTCGTATGTATGACTACCATGTGCTGGATATGATTGAGTTAGGTATTGAGAAATTTGTGTCTCTAAAAGATATTAAGGTAAGATACTGATTATAAAAATAGGATTATTTTTGAAATTGTTTTTGGCCAATAATAGTACCTTTTGAGGAAGGGGTGTGTGTGTGTGTGTGTGTAGTACTGGGGATTGAACCCAGGACCTCCAGCATACTAGCTAAGTGCTCTATCACTTGAGCTACACCCTCAGCCTTTTTGTCTTATTCTTTTACATTTTATTGTGAGAGCAGGTCTCTTAAGTTGCCTAGGCTGGCCTGTACAGTGAGTCCCTGACTTACAGACATTCTGCTTATGAATTTGCACAGGTACAAATGGACCTCACATTTGGTTTTTATGCTTTATGTTGTAATTTGTGTCAAAGGTATCTAAGACTCGCTTTATAGATCTTACAGGTGAGTCTGATGTTTGAGTCAAGATCTGGCAACTTACTGTACTTGGAACCCTCCATTACTGGCATGGGCCACCACTTGGAGCTACCAATAAATTCATAGATAAAGAACTTTTTTTTTTTTTTGAAATTTTGACATTTTCCAACATAGAAATATGCTTTACTTCACTTTTACTTTTTAAAAAGAGGAATACATAGCATGTTATGTAGCTCTTATGGCAATTAAGCCTACAGATTGTTATTACTAAGTATTTATCTAGATTCATGGTTTAAATGCTTTCCGCCACCTCTGGATGCTCACAGCTGCTTGATAGAACTTCCCTACCTGTAATTCCAGCACTCTGGAGGGCTGAGGTGGGAGATTCACAAGTTGGAGCCCAGCCTGGGTAACAGAGATTTAGATCTTGTCTCAAAATGAAAGCTAAAAGGCTACAAAGCTCTAGGCAGAGGCCCAGGTTCTATCCACAGTACGCCACAACCCCTTTTTTTTGGTGCCGGGAATCAAACTCACGACCTTGTGCTTGCCAGGCAGGCTCTTAGGCCACTGAGTTAAATCTCCAGCCCCCTGTCCGTAAGATTTTCTATTTGAGGCTTGAAAGCTTTGGCCGATTTGTAGTATTGTGGCTGCCAGACTCCTAATTGCCTGTTTATCCCTTGGTGGACTTGCATCTTTACATCTCCTCTGAGTGGGATTATGAAATAGAATGTAGCAAGTGTATCAAATCGCATCTCTATATTTAAGTCTAAAAATCACCATTTGCAAACACTGTTTTAAAGCAGTTAATAAAAATAAGAAAACATACCTGCTATATGTGAGTGTTCTTTGCCTTCAGGTATGTGGGGCCAAGGCTGTGTAGTTCAGTGGGTGGTGTTTGCCTACCATGAGGAAACCCTGGTTCAGTCTCCAAGTTCATGGGGAAGAAAAGCCTATAAACAGTTTAGATTTGTTGTTGTTGTTGTTGTTTGGTTTTGGGGTGGGTTGTTTTGCTTTGTTTTGTTTTAGTACCAGGGATCAAATGACCTTATACTTGCCAGGCAGGTGCTTGCACCGCTGAACTAAATCCCTGATCCTAACAGTTTGGATTTTGATAATTACAATTTTTTTTTCCTCATTTCACAGAACAGTAAGTGTCCTGAGGGAACAAAACCCATGTTAATATTTGCTGGTGATGATTTCGATGTAACAGAAGACTACAGAAGACTAAAAAGCCTCCTTATTGGTAAGTATTTCAGTGTCCGTTATCCGCAGGGCAGCTCAGGTACGCAGCCTGAGCCTGTCGTCGGTGCCACTTTATCACTGCACTCTGGGGTATAGGTTTCTCTCTGTTTCTCCTTTCCTTTCCTTTCCTTTTTTTCTTTTGTACCGGGAATTGTGCTTACAACCTTGTGCTTGCCCAGTTAGATGCTGTGCCACTGAGTTATATCCCCAGCCCCTTTCCTTATTTTTAAAAAATATTTTTTCTGTTTTTCATTTTCATCACTTTTACTAACAACAGTGAAAGTGCTTAGCTGTTAGAGTTACTGTACTCTACAGATGATTATTTTGGCACCGTAATAAGTGAAGTATTATCCTGTTAATACAATATGTTATACTTTTTGAATTTGTTCTTATCTTCATATCTGATCATTAATGGCATCATTAAATTTAGCAAATTGAAAAGTTGAAGTGTTTTTGTGCATTATCCATTTTGAACTCAAAAGACCTTGGTTTGATAAGCTTTTTATAATATAACTGCCTTCTGATTTCCTTCTCCATCAGAGTGACATATGCACATTCCTCTTGTCTTACTCTCTCTCTCAGTGCATAGTTTACAGAATGCTGTGTTTCATAGTGGCATTTTCATGCATGCATGTAACACTGATAGTGTTCAGTCTCTTCTACTCTCTCTTTCTTACTCCCTTTCTCTTGTCTGTTAGTCTTCTGTTTGCTTAAGGTTCCTCTGTGTGTGTGCACCATTGTGTGTGTGTGCACCGTTGTGTGTGTGTGCATGCATACACGCGTGCATGTGCATGGTGCTAGAGGTTTGTAGCCGAGCCCAAGGCTGACTTACGTGTGCTAGGCAGGTGGTCTCCTGACCTACATTCCTAGCTGTCTGGTGTGTTACTTGCCCGGTTTCTGCCTTTCTTTGACTTTCAGATGAAGCTTCTTTTCCAGGAAGCCCTCTGCTCCTCCCTGGTGCCTTTTTTCATTGTCGTCACCCTCAGTGCCAAGCATTTGCTGGGTGCTTTATATCGAGTGCTTCAAGCCTTAAGAGCCTATCAGGTCTCTTCATAGATGACTCACTCTTTTTTGGCAGGTGTGGAGGGAGGCAAGGGAACTAGAACCCATCCTGTGCACATGCTAAGCAAGCCTTTTGCCCCTCAACCGTGCTACCAGCCCCACCCGTGTTTTCTGTAAATTAAATCTGCACATGAAGAACAGTGACCAACATTCATTCACTATTATACACCGCAAAGCATCAAGAGTTTTTCATTCAGATTTTCAGGAAGATATTTTTGTCCTCCGTTGGTTCACGTTTTCTGCCTTGGGGCCCTCCCTCCCTGTGTAATTGTCAGTGGGGGAGGTACTTTGAATGTGCTAAAACAAATGCTTTTTGTTTGAACGGGTTAAGCCCTGGTGTCTAGTTCTGTGGGACCCCTAGGTGGCGGCAGTGACTGCATAACGCAGAGTGCGGGAGGGGTGTGAAAACCAGAGGGGATGAGGCTCTGAGAGCCCAGGGGAAAGTCGGGCTTTCCTTACAAACATGAAGTGAGGCAACTCCATGTTAGTGTGTGTGCGAATATAAGTGGAAATCTGATGAAGGGCAAGCGTTGTGAAAACTGTATCAGTGGGTGATTTTGTCCCTGTGAGCAAAGTATGTTTACGTGACCAGCAGCGACATCACTAGGTGATCGGTACTGCGCGTGGCCCTGCTCACAGACGTGGCCTTGTCCGGTACATGGCTGGGTCGTACACCGAATACTAGGTGAGTGGAGGAGAAATTAATCAAGGGCTTTTTAGGAAGTTTCTGCTTTCTTAAATATTATATAGTTAGCAAACATGGTAAAATAAAGTTTTGGGGTCCCCCCACATAATAAATTTAATGGGAAGTGCTTTTAACCATTAGTTTACTTTCTTTTTTCTCTTCTGGTTTTTCCAGAACAGGCTGTTGCTGTTTAGTTCAGACTGGCCTTGGGCTTATTGGGTAGGGGTAGTCCAGGCTGCCCTTGAACTTGTGCCAGCCCTCCTGCCCGCGCCCCCAAGTGCTGGGGGTGTAGGCGTGTACCACTACACACTCCTCCCTTTTTTTGTTTTTTGAAACAGGGTCTTGCTGACTAGTTTAGGCTTGTCTTAAACTCAGTATGAAGCACAAACTGGCCTTGAGCTTAAGTGAGCCTCCCGCCTCAACCTTTTAACGCTGGGATTTCAGGGAGTCCCCGCCACACTTGGAGGCCTCCCTGCCCCTCCCTCCCTTCCCTTCTTCTCCTCTTTCTTCTCTCCGTTTCTTTACTTGTCTTTCCTGAGGCTGTCTTGCATTATAGTTCACACACTCTCCTTGAACTCACTATGTAGCCCAGACAGTCCTTCTTCCCCTCCTTATTTTACAAAAGCTTTGTTTCCACTTTTTTCTTTTTTTTATATTTCCTCCCCCACCCGTCCCCCTTCTCATTTGAACATTTTCTGTTTTACAATATCTGTATACATTTTGTTTCTTATTTACACATTTGGTTTCTCACACTGAGAAAATGTACAGTATTTACACGTGTCCAGGTTATTTGATTTAAGACTGTGGTGTCAAAGGTGCATCCATTTAGCTAGAAATGTTTTGAGTTTATTTTTCTTTATGGCAGAGTAGTACTCCATTGTAAAATAAAAAATCAATATCCATTCGTCACTTGATGGGCATTTGGGGCCATTTACATCTTGCTCTTTTAGGGCAGGTGCTTTAGTCAGTGTTCAGCTTCTAGGTGGGTTTTGATTCCTTACTCCTTGGACTCACTGTGCACCTTGCGCCAGCTCTGGACTCTTGGTGTGCCTGTCCATAGGTTAGAGTTCATTACTGTGGTTTACATTCCTTCGTAAAGTTAGCAAACATGGTAAATATGGTTCTGTGCTGAGCAATGACTTAAAAGGCTGAAATCCAGTTGTGAGACACTGTGTGTCAGTGAACCGAGTACAGTACAAAAATAAAGTCATGAAATATCTGAGAGGTGTTTGCCCTTTTTCCAGGGATCGTCTCTTCTAGCTATGTAACCTTTTACATAAGTATTGGTGTAAAATGGGACACTGAGAGGGCACCATTCATAACCGAATTTTAAAGTATGTTGAGCTTCTGCTTTGTTTTGTTTTAACAACTGACTGTGTGCTTTTAGATTTCTTCAGAGGCCCCACGGTAGCAAATGTCCGCCTGGCCGGGCTGGAGTACGTCCTGCACTTCACAGCTCTGCAGGGGAAGGTTTACTTTCGCAGCTATAAGTAAGTGCCTCGCCCCCGCTTTGCTCATCCTCGGGGTTAGGGTTTCTGGGTGGCGGAGCTGCAGCACTCAGCCTTAGAGCTGGTGTCTCTCTGAGAGTACATGGGGAGAGTTCACAGAACAGTAGTAGCAGCAGCAGCCGGTGTGGCTATTGATCTGTTGTCCCCTGCTGACTTTGCCACTGAACCGCTGCTTTTCTAGGGCCCCAGAGCACAGACTCAGCAGTGACTGTCCCTCACTTTATCAGTTAACTCTGATGTTCTTGACTGGACTTTGAGTACCAAGTCAGGCCAACAAAACAAATCTCAGAACCATATATCTTAAACTATCTGGTTTTGCTTTGTTCTTTGTTTTTTGAGACAGGGTTTTACCGTGTAGGTTAGTGGTCTTGAGCTCACTGGGCAAGTCAAGGTCGGCTTTGAACTCACAGCAGTCCTCCTGCCTCAGCCCTCCCAGTGCTAAAATCAAAGGGAATAAAGAAGAGCAATAGCTAAATTCATGGTTCCATCTCTGCAGCCTGTTGTTTTACCCAGCCCCACTACAGTATAAATAAAAATCTAACAAGCAGATTGTTTTCATTAGACATTGTGAAATGTAATAGTGGTGCCTTTTGTCTGTTTGAAAACAAAAAGCATTTGTTGGGGTTGTTAGACTCATATTGTCCTAGACGCTGCGTGGACAGGCCTTGCCGTCTGCCTGTCCTGCGGTGAGTTCAGGGCTGGCGGGCATCTTGAGCTGTGGCCTTGCAGCCTGTGAGCAGCAGCTCAGTGCCAGCGATGTCCTCTGTGGTGGCGCTGCTGTGCGACCCTTTGTGTCTAGCATTTTATCTGTGGCTTGGTTTGTTCTTGTGGTGCTGGGGTTGAACCAGGGCCTTCCACTGAACAACATCTGGGACTTTTTTACTTTTTTTTTTTTTTTTCATTTTTATCGGTACCGGGGATCGAACTCACTACCACCTGCTTGCAAGGCAGGTGCTTATGCCGCTGAGCTAAATCCCCAGCCCGACTTTTTTACTTCTATGTTGAGGCAGGATCTTGTTAAATTGCGATACTTCTGCCTCAGGCTCCCTGCTGGGACTCTAGGCGTGTACTCTCATACCTACCAATGGTGGAATTTTTAATTTGACAGTGAAATTTTGCAGTGTTGCCCAGACTGGCCCTGGACTCCTGGGGTTCAAGTGATTTCTCACTTCAGCCTTCCAAGAGCTAGAACTGTAGGCGCCCCTGTGCCCAGCTCCACATACATAATTTAAAGGCTGATTATCTCCACAGTAGAGTAAGTGGCTGACCAGCCTGTGTCCAGTGACCATCCAAATGAAACACAATTACTTTTTCAGTTAATAACTTTTTTCTTTCATTCATTTATTCATTTGTTCGTTCTTTTTGAGACAGGCGTTCACTCTGCAGTTCAAGCTAGCCTTGAGCTCACTTTATAGCCCAGGTTGGCTTCAAACCTGCAGCAGTCCTCCTGCGTCAGCCTCCTGAGTGTTGGGATTACAGGCATGTGCCATCACACCCAGCTTTAATTAGTAATTTTTATTTTAGTCTCAACTATATTGTCAAAAGATGCCTAGTTCATTTCGTCCTATGATTAGTACCATTTCTGTTTTCCTTTCATTAAAAGTAAAATAGTAAGACAAAAAGCAATACAATACCCAGTGGTTATAAAATGTAATTAGGAGTTTGTTGATCAGTTTCAGCTAATTAAGATTGGAAACACGGCTGAGGATTTAGCTCAGTGGCATAAGCACTTGCCTGGCAAGCACAAGGTCGTTAAAAAAAATTTTTTTTGGAAACCCCTGAAGCCTGTTGTTTGCATGTCCTCACTTGATTTTGGGGTTTAGAAATGAAGTGAGGGCTGGAGGGTAAGACAAATGTTAGTGCTCCCACTTAGTATTTAGGAGGGCCTGAGTTCACCCCTCAAAATGTACTATCCTAAAAAGTAGATGAGTGCTATTTAGAAAATTAGAAAAGATGTAAGATTACTAACATAAAATAATTAAAATTACAACATGGGTGAAATTTTATGTTATAATTTAAGAATGACAAAAAGATACATTAAATGTGGAGACTGGACACAAAGGACTAGAAATATATTTTTAAAATCTTTGAGAGTAAGAACGACTAACAATCACCTAAAACTTCCATAGTGAACAGTTTTGCAGAAACTAGTCGTTTATATCTGATACTGTATTTAGTGAAAAAATTTAGCTTTTTAAAGTGGAGTGGGGAGTTCACAGAGGGAAGGGGGAAGTAAAACTGATTAAGATGGGGTGTGTATGTGTACCAGTTGCCCAAGATAAATGTATTTATCATGCATTGCAAACATGTATTAATAAAAAAATTCAGAGACACTAGAACAAACTGGATGGAAAATTTTAAAACCAGATTTCAGAACAAGGCTAGACTAGTAGTGTAATTGTGTACAACAGCTGTAGAGTATGATGGCTGAAACAACCTTTAGCTTAGCACGATGGCTTTCATAATGGAAACAAGAACCTAGTAGGGAATTTTAATCACACATGTGCTGCGTGTGCCCTGTGACATCTATGAGCCACTGATCTGAAATAGGAACTGGGCAGTGTGCGGAAGAGTGGGCTGCTCCGGTAGCTTCAGGGTCCCCACTGAACCCCAATCGTGCAAGTGTGAAGGAAGGGTGGCCCCAGGAGTCGGCACCACCTGGGAGCCTGGTCCCTGACTCCTGCCTGCCGCTTCCCAGGGCCTGTTTCTTACACACAGTGTCAGCATACCATTGAGACTATGCCAGAGAAGTGTGTGTCACTTAATTTGACACCTCAGGCGTTCCCTGGGCTGTGGTGTAGTGTCTTTTCTCTATTACAACTAATTAGGTCTTATACATCTTGCAAAAGGTGGAAATTAATGTTCGTGTGCATTGTTTGTGAAGACTAACAAGGCTTATAAGTGATTTTGTGCTTCTTGGACTAAAAGGAATTCTGAACATGAGGATATGTTAGTGTAAATTTTGACAATCTTTTAGTGCTTATAGTTCTACTGACTTCTTTCTGTGTACCTTGTAGTTATTAATTCTTCGTGTTTGAAGCTGTATTCCTTGGAAAATTTTATTGACTACAGAGTCAGAAGCATCAGTATGAAGCAGTCATTAGTAAATGCCACATAAGCCTTTGCTAAGATTGTTGGTTAGGTTTTATGGGGAGAATTACGCCAAATAGGAAGCTTTAGCTTACCTTAAGAAATAAACATAATCTTCAGAAAGGGACTTTGTTTAATGAAAACATAGAATGGCAAGGCAAAGATTAGGTATATGAGAGGAAGAAAAATCAGGAAATTAAAATTTACACAAGACTTACAATGTTAATCTTGAAAAATAGGCAAATATTTAAATACGTAAAGAATTTATGTGGAAATTACAACTACAGCCTGAGCCCATTTAACTGGGTTTGTTTGTCTTTGTCTCTGCATTTTGTGCCACACTGTCTTGTAGAAGTAAAGGTCACTTTGGATTCAGAGCTCACAGAGGGTGGAAAAGAAACCAGGTTAGGGTCTGAAATGAACCCTAGGCAGATGGTGTAAAAGCTGGGGCCCAGTAGGTGCTTGGCTCGACATGAAGACTGGAATTGGAATGTCTATCTAGAAAATGGTACAGTGTCAGTGATGGGACAGGAATGAAGAAAATAGATTTTAGTTTGGTTATTTTCTTACTATGACTCAGTGATAACAAAATCCCCCCCCCCAATCAGCTGAGTGTGACAGCACAGGCCTGTAGTCCCAGCACTTAGGGGGCTGAGGTAGGAGGATCAGGATGGGAGTTCAAGGCCAGCATGAACTGCACGGCAAGACTCTGTCTCAAAAAAAAAAAAAAAACACAGGAAAACCCAAAGGAAGACAACTGGCAGCTTTTCCGTAGACTCATGCACTGACAAGTGAATGTCAGATGCATTGTCTCCTGAAACTCTTAAAGCCATAACAGCAAAATGTACCAGAAAGTCTAGATTTCACTTGTAAAAGTTAAGAAGCTGGGGATTTAGCTCAGCGGTGTAAGTGCCTGGTTGTGAGTTCAATCCCTGGTACAAAAAAAAAAAAAACAAAAACAGTTAAGTAAAGGGAAAAGCCAGTCAGAGAGGCAGCAGGCACAGTGACACACATCTCTAATCCTGGCTGATTTGAGGCCAGTTTGGGCAGCTTAGTCTCTGTCTCAAAAACGGACCTTAATCATGGGATAGTACCACGAGTCTGTCACCAGGAACACACGCACAGAGCTGAATACGGGGGGGGGGGGGGGGCAAGTCCATCTCCTGTCCATGTGGTCTGCTGGGCAGCAGGCTCGGTGAATGGTTCAGGTCAGGTCATCTGAGCACAGGTGGCCCCATCCTTTACTTATGCTGTGAGGTTGTGACACAATGTAGTTCCGCCAGTGACTCAGAAGTAGTTTTAGTGGCACGTACCATTCAAAAATATAATTGAAGGGCTGTGGGAATCTGGGTGCTCTGAATCCATCAAATGCATCTTTGGATCAATACGCTGTATCTTCTACTTAGCTGAAAATTAGTTCTTCAGATTTTGTTCTTGTGCTGGGAACTGAGTCTTGGAGCAGGTGCTTTACCACTGAGTGACATCCTTAGCTCTAAGTACTTTTGAAGTGGCAGAAAAGTTTGTAGTTAAAATTTTGCATATTATTTCCTTGTTTTGTTTGTAAAATAGTCTTGTTATTAGTCCATATTGGACTGGAACTGTCTATGTAGCCAGACTGACCTGGAGCAAAGGCAGGGTCTCTGCAGTTCGGCTGGCCTTGAGCTCATTTTGTAGCCCAGGCTGTTTAGGTTTTTTTTTTTTTAAGACAAAGTCTCGCCATGTAGCACGGCTGGCCCTGAACTTGCAGCGATCCTCTTGCCTCAGCCTCCCAAGTGCTGGGATTACAGCCGTGTGGCACCATGCCCGGCTAGCTTGATTTCTTAAATTGCATGCTGACCATATCTTCCTTGTTAATTTGTACTAGTTTAACATTATACATGCCATTTATTTGG